GGCCGCAGCGACTTGACTCGCTTCTCGGTGAGGAGCTCCGTGGTGCAGATCTTACGCATCCGCCGCCAGTAGTCCCCCTCGGGAGAGAAGGAGATGTCCCGGCCGTCGTAGAAGATGATGCTGGCCGACGGCATGTATGGCCTGGCCGAGAAGTTGAGGTCGTGGGTTTTCAGGAACTCCCTGGCTGCTTCAGGGGACGACACGACGACGTTCCACGTCTCCCCGAGCTTGAGCTGCATCACGGGGCCGTACTGCCTCGCCAGGGCCGCGAAGCTGCGGTGGACGAGGCCGGAGTTGGGGGAGAAGGCGAGCTGGTGGATGTTCCCGATGATGGGGAGCTTCCATGGCCCTGGAGGCAGGGGAAAGGCGGCGGCTGTCTTCTTCGTCTTGAGATGAGAACTGATGAGGAGGATTAGTAGCATGGTCGTCGACAAGAGGAGGAGGATTAGTGGGTTAATGGTGTGTGAAAGGATCTCATGCTCATTGCCAACTACTTGCTCCATTTTTCTTTTTTTTCCCAACTTTGAGCTCACTACTCGATCTGCTCTGTGTGTGTGTGTAGCACTAGCATCCGATCGAGGTATAATGTAACCTGCAGTGGCGTGCCAACGATGGGGCAAAAAAAAAAAACTAATAATAATAGCTGTACTGTAATGTATGAACCAGGAAATAATACTAATTCTTTATCGTGAGGAGCACGCCAATTTGATCTGGACGGATTCCATTTATGTCTAGTGGTGACTGGTGACTGGTGAAGTGGTGGTGTATTAAATATTTTTAGTTTTTTTTTTAAGTTGAAATCATTTATTAATTTAAAGTCACGAGAGGAAAAGAGGAATTTGAAATTTATAACAAAAGTTTGTGATTTATAATAAATAATTTACAAACCCTTATACATTTACAAATATTTAATGCAATTTTGAAAATTCTTAATCAATATTACAGATTATTTGTATTTATTTACAAATAACAGGAGTACAAATTATACATACAAGATTAGAGACTATCCTGCCTGAGAAATTTGAGAACATGTTGCTAATCAAGAAAAGTTTTTTTTTAAAAAAAAAACAAAAATAGTTGGGTATATAGTGGAATGTACCTATTAGCGGCCATGGAAGTTTATTCTTATTAGAGCAAATACAGAAATACTGAAGCAATCTAAGAACTTGATAAAAAGATGGAATGTTGAACTCTTTCCAAGTGTGGGGAGAAAATGTATTGAGAAGATTTGAGGAGATTGACAGTTTAGAAGAAGACGGTGTGGTTCCGTAGCATGTCCGAAATACTACAGGTTCTATTTGGCTTGTCGAAATACGGATTAATCCAAATTTTTTACCTCAACCGGATCAACCGCAACACAATGCTGGAAGATAACAATGCCCAAGGCGCTGGAGGCAGGGGAACACCTCTACCCTAGCTCTGGGCCCCTACTGGATATTAGATTTCGCAACCTCAGTTGTCATTCAGCATTCGCCTAAGCAAAGAATTATTTTGAGGGGTGATCAAAATAAGTTTCTTCTGATGGAATAAATGTCGTTTTGGCGAAAAAAGTTCTGAGAATTGTGGATAAAAGCTTGAGACAAGAATAATTCCTTCTTCCATTAAGAATTGAAGACATGTAGGGCCTCAAGAATGCCTTTGTGTGCCACAACCATGACAAATTCAATGAACAGAAGGCTAATAGATCATTTTCAAAAATACACTGAGGCTTGTATTTAGGAGTTCGAGGCAATTTAGAGTGCACTTGGACGATTTGGAAATTGATTTTACGAGTGCAACATGACCTAGAGCACGGTCGTGTTACGGGCGTACTCGAGATATGAAGATTAATCGAAGGATACTCGTGCCTATCATTGTGTTCGAGCCTCATTTTTATCACTATTTAAGTCGAATTATGTTTTCTCTTAAGCAGAACGGCCAAATACGACCAAAAATCCAAAATTTGAGTTGGAGATTAGAAAAGGAGGGTTTCCCAATAACTCATCACCATAGGAGGCGATTGGGAATGATTGATCAAGGTTTTTGCCATGGAGATTGCTTCCTCTTATTCTTCTTCTTTTGTGTTCATTCTCTCATCGTTTGTGAACTAATTTCCTCTTATTGCTTTGCACGAAGAACCCTAGTTATGATTGATGAATAGATGATTGTATGATAATTTGATTATGTTTGAAATCAAGATTTATATCTGATTGATGCGTGATTATTGAATTGTTTGAGCCCTTATCAAGTTCTTGTGATTCCTACTTTAACCTATGAGAAGGGATACCTTATTAGGTTAATATAGCACCATTAATTGAAAGCAGGGGATTGATTGCACGAGAGTGAGTCTAATACAATCACAGATTGCTCAATATACAAGTCAGAATTGCTTGCCAAAGATCCAACCCCAATACATGTGAAGAACCCTAATTTTTGGCTAAGTATTTTGACTATTTTAGGTAGAATACTTTGCACGTCTGGCTTTCTCAATTGGCTTGGTGAAAATTCAAGATTAAGCACTTGTTTTAAAGCTGGAGAGTTCTTCTACAAGTTGGAGTGCTTGGAAGCTCGAGGAGAAGCTAGGGAGGCCCTTGTCCAAGTCGATCTAAAACGTATGCCGAAACTTGAAAACTGCCTGATTTTGGCCAAGGAAGATAAGATGTTCGAGGTAGCAACTTTGTGACTTTATTCTAAGAGTTTGGGGTACAATCAGCTGGGGTTTCGGGTTTGAAGATGAAAGTGTGCAACTTTCTAAACCACGTGAAGGAATTGGCTGAGCTCGACTCGATCCAGAAACCCATTTTCTAGGAGCTTGAAGATGGTACGAAAGGATGTTTACTAGACAGTTTACTTGGAAGAGAAGATTGTAGCTTGACTTACAAGTTTACTTGTTTTACACGAATTCCTTTCCTTGTTTAGTTTCATTTCATTGTTCAATTAGGATTGTATTAGGTTTAATCTTGCTTATAGATAGCCTTTCTCCTTAGTTGTATTGTGCGTTTTGATTGATTGAATATAAACCCTACTCTGAGGAGTGCTCATCAAGCTTGAGAGTTGGATTTGGTCTTGGTTCGTCCGAGACTTGCAGACCTAGAGATCAACTCGTTCACCATTGATCTCGTGGTAACTTCTACCCAAAACCAGCCTCTTCCCTCTAGTGTTGAAGTTTCTTGTTTGGTTTACTTCCTTCACCAATCCACCACCCTTGTTTTACTACGAAACCATCATAAAACCAATATTCATACTTAGGCTGCGGGATTCTGATTCGAGACCCACCCCTTGGTCTCATCAGATTCGATCCATTGCTTTGTATTTGGTGAGAATCTCGCCTAATAGAAAGAGTCTAGTGCAAACTACCTTGGTAATTGTCTTAGTGAAGATAGAATCCCTCTAAGGCAGTCTATTTAAGAGTGTTTTGTGTGGGTTTAAAGAGATTCAAGACTGCTCAAGGACTTTCCCAAATATAAACAAGAGTGAAAAACTAATTAGAGTATCATATATCCTTAATACGGCTAGTAATTAGGGGGAATCAATGAAACTGGTTTATTTTATGCTTTGTTAATCTTTTGCATACAATATAAACCTGGAATGAAATTAGTCTGAGTACGTAATAATAGATCTGGCGACCCAAGATCGATAATTTATTACTTAACCACTATACGGCTTCTAATCATTACTTGCACTTGGCCTTTGAATAGAGTGTTAGTAGTAGGTGAACTAATTTTTTTGCGTCGTTGCGGGGGAAAAGTCCAGAATTTTATTTTTTTGTTATGCACTTCATCCACACTTTGCATTTCATGGGTAGTTCTATTTTATCTTGTACGAGATAGATAGGTACTAGATAGCCCATGAACCGTAGCCAATCTGAATAATTATTACCGCTTGGCAGAGGGAGGGAAATGGGCTGTATCATGCACCAACTCTCATTTTGAGTTTCCTTTTTTGCTAGTTCTCCAACGATCCACCCACTGGAAATGGCCATTGGAACACCGCAAGCGGCATTTGTATCTACCTGGTCAGACTCAGATCTACATCTTAAGCTTTGTGGTAGGTGATGGTGGTGGGGCATTAATTAATTAATTTATTATAACTAGCATCACATGTATATATGCAGCAAGCAGATCGAATAAAATCATGCATATGTTGGATCATTGTCAGCTAGCTAGTGCAGATTGAAACATATTAATCGGTTTTAATAAAATCAAGATATACATTAACAGGGTTTATCAAAGTAATTAAAACAAGATCTACCAAAACTTATATAATTAATTAACCTTCCCTCGGTCACTCCATTAGTCAGTATCAGCTTGCATATATATATATATATATATATATATGTGTGTACTCTTGTCCTAGTATGCCTCCGCGATGTTGTGCCGGTCTTTCTTTAATGTGTTTCATTTCTTTGCACCTATATTTTTCGGCAATTAATAACCGAGGCTAAAATCAGTGAGGTTCAAAAGTTCTAGGCATTCAAGTTTAATTAATCCTAGTATGCACGCCTCAAATATAAGTTCAAGAAGATTATCATTGAGAGGAGTTTGCTTTTGATATTCCAGCATGTGAAGATGATCATTGAGGCTTCCATCGAAACCTGCAAAAGCAGAGCCACCATCCTTTTGCACTGTGAAAGAATTGAATTTCTCCATAGGTCGTAAGTGGCTGGTAGAAGAAGATGAGAGATTGTTTAGAAAACGAAGAAAGTAAAGTCTAAAGACCAAACATGAAAATTTCATAATGTGCGTAAGAGGCTGTTTGAACATAGCATGTAGTTGAGGTGGAACAAAATCTTTATTACTTTGACCCATAATTCACGTCGAGAACGACTGAACGACTACATGCAATGAAAAAGGTACAAATTAAACCATAGATGAAATATTCCCAACCAACCCTTATTGTTGCAATTACAAGACCCGGCCTCCCGTATCAGAATGCAACATATGGTGCTAGGGAAAGAGATGATACAAGAGCTAATTAAGTAAATGGTGCTGAGCAAGAAGCAGATCATTACACAGCCCATTTTAGGGTTTGTAGGCAATAGGAATGAGATGCAAATGATTTTGCCTCGTGACCACTGAGCCGAATTTTTCGCACATATCAAGGTCTTGAGGTTTGATTCCATTCGGGAGCTGCCAATCAAAATGATAGAGCAGACTCGCTAACAGAAAATCAACAACGATCGAGCCGAAAGATATTCCAGGGCATATTCTCCTCCCACCTCCAAACGGTATGTAGTCAAAGTTTGGGCCTTTGTGATCAAAAGTTTTGTTGGAAGGATCGATAAACCTGTCTGGATAAAACCGTTCGGGTTCCGTCCAGTTACGAGGATCTTGGCTGATGGCCGTTACATTGATCATGATCTTTGATTTTTTCGGTATCTGGTATCCTGCAATCAACACGCTTTCTTGAAATCCTTCGCGAACTAGCAATGGAGCAGGAGGGTATAATCTGAGACTTTCTTTGACAACCGCTTTGAGATATGATAATTCTTGAAGGCCCGCTTCGTCGATCATTCCTTTTTTATCGAAAACCTGTCTCACCTCTGCTTGTACCTTTTTCATGACATCGGGATGCATAATGAGTTGTGATATCGCCCATTCCACAGTTGAGGAGAATGTGTCGCTGCCAGCTAAAAACATGTCCTACGCGCACAAGTTTTTATAACTTATAAGCATATATTATTCATGTTTAACTATGTATGTATGTGCTTAATGTTTACCAGGATGACAGCTTTAATGTCGGCATTGGTGAAAGGGAAGCCAAGCCCTTGGCTCTCTTTGAAATTCAGAAGCACGTCAACAAGATCTTCTGTTACTTGGTCATCATCATTAGCTTTTGCTGATCTTGCTTTTCTTGTTGCTACATGCTCATCGATTATGGCTTCCAGAATGACATCTGCTTCTTCGTGAACCTTGTGTGCTTGTTTCTCAGTACCACTGAGTCGGCGTATTAAGTTGCTGGATGGGAATAGGTTCCCAAGAGCAAACCCGCCATATGCCTCGACGATTCCATGCAGAACTGGCAAGAAGGCTTCCTCTTGCCCCTGCAACTTCCCGAAAAGCGCCCTTGAAATGATGGCCGTCCCCACCGAGTAAAGCGTTTGGCTCAAGTCCATGACAGCTCCCTGTGAAATAAAGTTTTCATCGACGACGACGAATATCATACCATGTGCTCAACAAATAGGGATCATATTTCTTTTGAAGACGACTGATAATGAGTCCTCAAGTTTGTTATTTAGAAATGTTAAATAATACATTTTTATACCAGATACTAACAATTTGTAATAATCAACTACTTATTGGTTGGTTCTACTCAAACTCATTTCGTATCAGTAATTAATATCCAGCTAGCTAGCTAGGAAATGAAGATACAAATTAAATTATTAAGTGGAGAGGAGAGGAGTAGGTTTAGCAAGCAACCAACCAACCTGGTGCAGGTGGTGGATGGATCTGACCATCTGCCGGATCTCGTCCTCCATAATGGGCTTCAACAGCGAATCCACGCGTTTCCCGCTCAGTAGCTCCATGGTACATATCTTCCTCATCTGCCTCCAGTAGTCGCCGTAGGGGGAGAATCCGACGCTTCTGCCGCCGTACGACAAGATCCTGGCGGCGGGGAAGATGGGCCTCGTCGCGTAGTTGTGGTCGTGCGTTCGGAGGAACTCTTTGGCGATTTCCGGGGAAGAGACGATGATGTTGGAGATTTCCCCGAGCTGAAGGTGCATTATTGGGCCGTGCCGCTTGGCCAGGTCCATCAGCCGGCGGTGCGGCGGCTGGTCCCCGACCATCTGGAGCAGGTTCCCTATCACGGGCAGCTTCCATGGCCCGGGAGGTAACGGGCCACACGACTTCCCTGACCGTTTCAGGAGTTTGATAGCGGAGAGGAATGTGGCTAGGCCTAGGAAGATGATGATGATGACGTGGATTGTGCTGACTGAACAAGGTACCACCTCCACAGACACATCCATTTCGAACGACACCCTTCTGTGCTAGCAGCTCCTCTCCTCTCCTCTCTTTCTTTTTTACTTTTTTTTACTTATGTGTTGATTGATTTGATGCTCGTCGCTCATCCAATATTGTGGTCAAGTACGCTCTATATAGATAGATAGATGCCGCACGCCACCGGCCTGATTAATAAAATACATATCTGACGTGGAACCAAAATTTAATAATAATAATAATAAAGGAAAAAGTTTTACCTACTGGCTACTGAATTAATATTTGATTAAACAACATCTGCCAACGTTAATATTCGCATGTACAACAACGGTACTAATAGCTGGCAAGGCATCAAGATGGGCCAATTATATATGCTTGAATTTTCTTCTAGAACCACCTCCTGATTTTTGCCTGCATCAGTATCTGCTCTATCATTGAACATACGTAACTACTTTCTATGTGATTGAAATGCTTGTTCAATCAGATAAATGAGTGTTTGCAGTACTCGAATAAAGAACAAATAGAAATTTTATGATGTTTTTTTTAGCATTGCTGTTTTGGTTTTAGAAAAAATATATCTATGGTAAACCAAAACAAACTCACATATTTAGGGTTTCGGGTACAAAAAGGTCTAAAATATAGTATGGTTTGTCACATTGCGTTATAAACAACCTGGTTCTTGTCTGAAATTATGTTTTGGGTTAATTGGGTTTTGGTTTACAGATGTTCAATTTCTTTACAATCCAATGAAACAAACTTACAAATTTAGAGTTTTTGGTACAAGTTCAATTTGTATTTCTTTATGGTATAATACAAACTGATGATATAAATGTACCAATTCCTTTATGATAAATGGAACTTGTACTTTTAACGTTATGATAACGTTATGATACAAATTCAGATTGCAGACACATGATGTTTCAGCTAAGTCGCAAGCCATCATGTATCCATTATTTGTATGAATGCTGCCCAATCAAGGTACCTAATTAAGTTAACTGAACTTATATCGTTACAAGAAAGTAAAAGGATCTCAGCAAACCAAAATTTCGTTATGGTCAAACTTATATAGTTTACAGACAATAATCACACGATTTACAAACCAATATGACAAATTATATATAATATTTTTTGTCACGTTTTTTTTATTACAAATCGGGTCTCCTTTCAATCGCAAATCTGACTGATTTTCTCTGTAGATCATATTCTTTTCCCGTTACAAAATAGATTGATTACAGTAAAAAGTGATACAACTTACATTACAAACTAGGATTACTTTTATTATAAACAGAATAATTTATATTACACATTATGACTTCTAATACAAACCGATAGGACTTCCGTTACAAACAAAGGTGGAGAGATATATTGGAGAGTCATGGACTCATGGTTGACAACACTGAGATCGAAACTTAAAGTGGAACTAGGCGGGCTTGTGGAGAAAGAAAACAGATCGGGCTTTAGCCTTTTCAGCCCAACTTAATCAAATTCCTTTGGGTTGAATTTCAGAAGCTGTTGCTAGAGAACTCTGATTCTTGTTATGATGTTATCCAGAAAACAATAGTATATTGCAGAAATCTAAAGAGCAGCAACAAGAAAGAAGATTGAGCAACGATCTTTTTACGCGGTTGAACAATCTAAATAAAGTGTTATTTTCTCGAATATTAGAAAAGCATGGGATGGAGCAATGAACCTATTTGAAGTGGCTCATTTCGTACCGAGAAGCCAATGTATGAACAAGGATTAATTTTACTTCCCCACCTAGAGTCCCTTAAGGAAAGCCTTTTCATTGCCCTACACAAAACTGCATATAATTTAGAAGGTTCAAAGGGAAAAGGATGATGACGGCCAGTTCAAACAATCATTGGCATTGGATGGACAAAGGTTTGTTAAGTGTTGGGGTATGATGTCGGAGTACTACCGGATCACGTAGCTCCGTTGTGCGCCTTGTCTGTCAGGAGCTGGGTGCTTCATGATTCAAGGAGAGGATAAGAAGGCACACGAAGGGTGACTGGGTGAGGGAGCCATCTTGGCTTAAACATTAAGTTTATTACGAGGCTTGGGAAAAAAAAATTGTTCAACTTGAGGTAAATTATTGCTCTGCTTTTTCTGGAGATAATGGTAATTTATATTATTATTAAGGCAAAAAGTTAAGAGTTTGAACATAAAAAAAGCAACAAACAACAGCTGCACATTAGACAGCAGCCAAAGGAAAAAGAACGGAAAGAAATTGAAAAGCCCCAAATGAAATGAAATTCATGCCACTAGCTTCATTTTTTTTAAAATATCGACGATCAGCTAACTCTCTTTTTATATGTCATAATGATCTCATCTTAGAGTCGGGATAGCAAGCAAAGGTTTGGCCTTTTGCAAAGTCACTCCAAACTTCTCCTTCATATCGAGTTGTTCTGGCTCGACTCCATCCGGCAGCTTCCAGTCAAACCAATGAACCAACGAACCTAACATCATATGCAACATCCTATGCGCTAATGACATTCCAGGGCATATCCTTCTCCCTGCGCCAAATGTGATAAGCTCAAAGTGGTTCCCCCTGACATCAACCTCTGAACCCAAGAATCTTTCTGGTATGAACGAGTTTGGGTCGTTCCATATCATCGAGTCTCGACCTATTGCCCATAGATTTACTAGGACCTGTGCACCTTTGGGAACGGTGAAACCACCGATTTCCACATCTGCCCCTGCTTTATGGGGAAGTAGCAAGGGAAGAGGCGGATGCAATCTGTAGGTCTCTTTTATTACTGCCTGCAGATATGGCAATCGAGAAATGTCTGATTCCTCTAGATGATAGTCTTTTCCAATCGTTTGATCCAATTCTTCCTTGACTTTAGAGAGTGCATTAGGATTGTGGAGGAGCTCTGTCATTGCCCATTCTAGAGTGGTTGCAGTTGTATCAGTCCCAGCAACAAATAAGTCCTGATATGTCAAACCAAGATCAAGTAATCTATATCAATAGCTTTTTAGTAAAAGCAAACTCGGTGGCGAGGATAAAAACTAAATAATGAGTGTGTGCAACAAACAATCCACTAATGCAATGTATATGTTATTAGTTGAACAAAAATACTCACCAAGAACAAGTACTTGATGCGCTGTAGATCCATCTGAACCTCTTCGCGATTGTCGCCACCACCATGGATGGCTAGAAGCGTGTCGAGCATGTCGTTAGCCGAGACATAGCTCTCCGACTTCTGCTCTCGCAACCGCTCGTCAATTAACCACTCAAAGAGATTCAAAGCCTTCTCCAAGTGACCCCGAATCCTCCTCTGTATCCCCTGCAAATCAAACCTGGCCAAAATATGGAAAAAGTCCCCCAAGTTGGGAGTCCCAGCCTCATGGGTCATCCCGCTCGCAAGCTCCTTGAACTTCTTGGCAGCCTCCGACGTCTCCTCGTCGGCCAGATCCATCGACAGGATGGTCGCCGACAGCGCATTCAAAGTGGCCCTGAACGCCACTTTCCCCACATCAACCGCCACCTTTTCCTCTTCCTCGTCGCAGCAGGCATTTCGTCGAACACTTTCCACGAGCGCCACGATCTTGTCCCTCCGGAGGCCCTGGTTGGAATCCAGCTTCTGGGGCGTGAAGATGTACGAGTTGCAGACTCTCCTGAGGTTCCTCCACCTGGGTTCCACGGGGAGCATGGTGATGGAGAATTTGTGGAGGTCGAGGGTTTGCAAGGCGAGGGGGACGTGGCGGTTGGAGAGGAACTTGTCGTGCTTTAGGAGGATCTCCTTGGCTACAGCGGGGGACGAAGCCACGATGGTGGTGACTTGGCCCAGCTTGAGGCTCATCAAAGGCCCATGGACCTTGGCGAGGTCGGCCAGTGATTTGTGAGGGTTGAGGCCCAGGTTGTGGATGTTGCCGATGATTGGCAGCCGGGCGGGTCCCGGCGGGAGTTTGGCCGCCGGGGTTTGGTTCCTTTTCAGAAACCGGAGGATGGTGACGGTGAAGAAAAAGCAGAGTAAGCAATTCAGGAGGAGGAAGAAGGAATCCATTCTCTCCGGCTTGCTTGCTATCCCAATGCTGCTGCGGACCTTGATCGTGAACTACTTTACTGTACAGTAGAGATGAATATTTAAAGAAACCTCCACAAAGCAAACAGCAGCCCTGCATCTCCATGTGCATTATCATAACACTAGTGTTGTATCTTTGTTGTTTTCTCTTTTTGGAGGGAACAACAGTATTATTATTATATTATTATATTTATCACAGCGTTATGTTAATGGTTCCTCTCACTTTACAGATAGATTCCCACGATCCCCAAATAAAATTACATAAATTGGAATATTTTGCTCTCTCTATTTATTATCTGTGTTTTTTCCACTGAACCTCTTAATATATATTCTAAGTTGCTCAACTTTAAACATATTTTCTAATTAAGCTCTTGCCGTCAGTTCATTTGATATACCTCCTTTAAAATGGATGCCAAATTATGTTTAATAAATCTCCTAAAATTCACGTTAGAAACCCTTTTTGAGTGAAACCCATCTCCCCTAATAATTCATTTTAGATTTTTTAAACAAAAATGAGCATGGTTTCTGTTCTGGCTTTCTGCTCTCCCACAGTCCCACTGCAACAAATAGGGATGGCAATCGGGCCGATCGGGGTCGGATGTATATGGATTCGTCACCCGCTCGCCGGAACTTCGGGTTCGGGGAATCCCGGTCGAACACTGTTATCGGATGTAAAATAGCAACCAAGCCCGCCCGTTTTCGGATGCCGGGTTTGTCGTGGACCCGAAACTTATCCGACTTGTTCATTAATTAAAAAACAACAACCAAATTCTTACGTGAAGCTGAAGCATGAACTTCATAACGTCAAATCCAGAAACCAGAATGCACTGGAGAAATAGCAAAAGAACAAAACATTCAACAGAAAACATCCAATCCTAAAATACCATCAAATCCAAAATGACCAAGACCATTGTATGAGCAAAACAAAAGTTTAAATGACTGAACAGCTTCGATAGCAGCAGCAGCACAGCAGCATGATAAAGACTTCACTTCAGGCCTCCATACTCCACTTTCCAGCAGCAGCAACAATGCACCATTCTGCATTCCTTGGTTCCACCCAGCAGCCAAGGCAACAAAACTCAAACAAAACCTGACAAACGAGGAAAAACAACCGTTATTAAGGATCCAAATTCACAAATCATGAAATCAACTAAAGTACTAAGAGAACTCAAAAGTTCTTACTTACATCTTGCTGCTAAGTTTCAGTTCACAAATCTTGATTAATCTTCAAGAAGCTTGAAACGAGGGGCTTGCTCTACACATTTAAACAAACTATCTCAATCTCATTGACATATATCAAAGGCTGGAAGAAATCACACAACTGAAACAAGGTTTTTTGCTTATTACCTTCAGTAGTTTCAGCATCAGGTTGGAGCTGGACCAGATTGGCTTCACTTGTAGGGGAGAAACATCCTTCCAACTCTCCTGCTCCAGCAGTAGCATCATCTACGAATGCAAGCCAAGTCAAAATAGTTACATAACATGCTAAAACAACAATGAAATTTAACAAAAAGATTAACTTAATAGGGTTAAGAGTTTACCTCCAGCCAACTCAGCTTGCAACCAACTTCTTGTGCACACAAGTGTTTCCACAGTAACATGGTGCAACCTGCTCCTGTGAGGGTCTAAAACACGACCTCCAGAGCTGAATGCACACTCAGATGCAACAGAGGTAACAGGAACAGCCAAAATATCCCTTGCTATGGCTTGCAAAGTGGGATATTTTGGACCATTATGCTTCCACCACATTAAAATATCAAACTCAGCAGAACGAGGGAGAATTTCCTCATTGAGGTAACTGTCTAACTCAGTATGGACAGAAGTAACCCTTGCCCTTTTTCTTTGGCTCACAAATCGATCAAAGTCCAAACCAGTGGTGCTAGGAGCAGAGGACTCAACTCCAACATACCCTGAAACATTCAGATTCCTCTCCTCATTCATTTTACTTTGGTACTCCAATACCAGGTCAGATAATATGTCCTTAACATATTCCAAACAATAGCCATCAAATTCAACACCAAAGTTTTCAGCATAGTAGTCAACAATTTCCAACTTATATCGTGGATCTAGAATCACAGCAATAGCAAGGACTTTGTGAATCTCGTCCCAGTACTTGCGGAATTTTTCCAACATAAAATAACCCATCTTTTGAATCACTTCATTGGTATCAACACACCACTCATGAATCTTGAGTTTCAACTCACAAATACGAGGGAAGAACAGATTAGTCATTGGATACTTCGATCTAGAGAACAAATCAGAGATAGAGCTAAAAACTTTAAGTTTCTCACAAACAAGTGCAGCAAATTGCCACTGCTCATTCGATGGCAAGAAATTATATTGAGCATCACGTTGCTTCAGTCTAGTGAAAACCTCCTTGTAAGGAATAGCAACAGATAGCATTTTAAAGGTGGAGTTACACCAAGTAGGGCAATCCATAACAAGTCATTTCTCTTAAGTGAATTTTAACTGCTTTGCAGTTTCAAGGAAGAACAGTAGCCTTTTAGGGGTAGCAGACCAGTAAACAACATTGCTCCTAATGTTATCAATTCCCTCTTTAACAACATCCAGGCCATCTTTCACAATCAAATTCAAGATGTGAGCAGCACACCTCATATGTATCAAAGCACCATCACTTATCAAGTCAGGTAACACTAATTTTGACAGTATGACACGAATCATAGAGTCATTAGTGCTACAATTGTCTAGGGTAATGGTGTATACCTTACTGTCGACATTCCAGTCGAGCAAACAGTTAACCGACACTGTCCCCAACCTTTCAGCAGTATGAGGTGCTGGTACATATGCAAATCTGCACAAGAACGAGCAGACAAAGAAACAATTGCAATTAGGAATGAAACCAAAACTAAGAAACAGAAACCAATGATTCAAATAGATACAGACTACATGTCTTACCTAAGCATATGGCTCCTAAGCACCCACGAGTTGTCAATATAATGAGCTGTAACAGCCATGTACCCCTTCTTTTGATTGGTGGCAGTCCACAAATTAGTAGTTATTGCAATTCTACCTCTGTTGATATCAAACAAACTTTGAATCTTAGCTTTTTCAATATCATAGATCTTAAAGACCTCTTTCTTTATAATATTCCTCGATGGAACAGTGAACAATGGTTGAAGAGAGCAGACAAATCCCTTGAAATAGAGATGATCAACCATCGACAAAGGATATTCATGCATTGTAATAGCAATTGCAAGCTCCCTTTTTGAAAAATCAGAGTTGAAAGCAGTAGCAACCAATTCTTGATTTCCTTTAGCCAAATAGTGAGGGCCGAGAATCTTTTGACTACCATCCCTAATTTTCTTCTGAACACAAATTTTGGTGTGATTCTTTAGGTGGGTAGTACCATTATTTGATTCCCCACCTAATTGCTTCTTACAATAATTGCATTTAGCCTTGACAATTCCATTAATTCGAACTTTGGTATAGTGTAACCAAACAGCACTCTTAAGCTTACCAACGTCGAGTAATTCCTCGACAGCATTACCATTCCCAGCATTGCCATTCTGCTCATTTGTAGTTGCTGCCTGCGGAGTTGGGTTTGTGACAGTCCCATTTCCAGTAGGTGCAGACAGAACTAGATTTGCACTATTGCCATTATCTTGTGGAGTGGGTTGAACTCCCTCTATTGACATTGTTCCTGCCGAAAAAATAGAGGAACAAGGATTAGTAGGATATCAAGCGACTCCCTCAATCATTAACCAACATCAATGATCAAAATTGAAACAAAGAAAGTGGATATTTACCTTGAACAAACAGAGTGAGGCACAAACAAAGGGTGGGAATGGATGTGAAGATGATTCTCGCACGCACAAGGCCACGGACCAAACAAGCAGTAAAAGGATGAGAAGTCAGTCTGAGAACTGAGAAACAGAGTACTGAGATTCAGACTTGAGAGAAGTATGAACAAAAAAATAAACCCCACCTCGTATTTATACTCCAACTTCAATCTCCAGCCGAATCGACTATTCGACTTCACTGCGAGAAATTCTCTTTGCATGCGGCAAGCCATGATCGAAAGGGAAATGATTATCATCATCGGGAAGGAAAGCGGATAATCGGTGGGAGATATGCGACCGATATGTTAGGGATTCGATGCAGCGGGAGCAATCGAATTGCCAGAATCTAGCCTAGGGTTGGAGGCGGAGAAGAAAATGGGAGAGGAAGAGTTTAGTTGAGGAGAGTAATCTAACCTAGGGTTTCTTATTAGAGGGTATATATATGTACGGGGCGGAGTCGGGGCGGATAGTTTCGAGTCCGAAGCCCGTTTCTCTTATTCTCGGGTTAATCTGAGTCCGGCCCGGAGCCCATCATCAATGGATTTTGCCTGATTTTGTCGGGTCGGGTTCAGATCGAATTTTCGGGTTTCGATTCAATTTGCCAAGCCTAGCAACAAAACCTCTGGACATGACCACAAGCATAAAACATTTGACGAGTTCTGGGCTCTGGCACCATAACGGCAACCCTGCCTACCCCTCCTTCGATCCTTATAAGAGAGCCAAGGCGGCCAGGCCCGATTAACGGCCCATCAGGTCTATACAATTACAAAGGCTTAGATGCAGAAAATGTTAGCTCCGTGACAAAATGCTTAAGAAAACTAAAACATCGTATAGCAAAATGCAGAACAATCACTTTGTCCAACTTTGAGATTAGTTTGGTTGAGTTGATGTAACAAATAGACTTGTCATGTTACCAATTTCCACAAATCATCTCCCAAGATTCATCATCGAACCCCCTCTATATATTTGTATTATCATATGTTAGTTACTCGACAGTTCAATTCTTAGATTTCACATCATTCTATATATCATGCCTTGTTCTACCAATTGAATTCAGCGTTCACGTGTTGCTGGATCGATAAGTATGGGTCAGACTGATATACGCGATGCGTACGCTAATCTGAACCATATATATACGGGGTTAGATTGGTATACGCGTGGAACATACAATAAAGGTACTCTTAGCGAGATATCTCTATTGAGACCATGAATTAAACCGAATTTGGGGTATGATACCATACCCTAACCTCTAATGGATAAATCTCAGGCATCGATTCTCTAAACTCAACGAATTAAAGGATCAATGAGGTACACGTACGATTACAAGTAAAAAGGATTAGATGCCCAAAATATTCGTTGAATTCCGAGTTTTGCGATAAAATGCTTAGCAAATTAAAAATTGTGTAGCAAAATGCTAAGCAATCACTTTGTCCAACTTCGGTATTAGTTTGGATGAGTTAGCGTAACAAATAGACTTGCCATGTTACCAACTTCAACCAATATCATATCCCAAGTCTCATCATCGAACTTACCTATTTGTATTATCATATATTAGCTACTCTCCATTTCAATTGAATTTTTTGTGTCTAGCATTGTTATGACTTATGATTAATTAATGGGTCATATTGAAGAAGCAAACACATACATCAGACATATGACAATGTCGAAACTAATAAGAGACTTGAGTAGAAACCCATAGGGAGGTCGAGTTGAGAGAGTGTTTGACGAGAAATGAGAGGTAGTAGATGATTTAGGGTTGATAAGCATGAGTGAACTGCATTGTTTGCCCAAGGCAGCTTAATATATTTATTATTATATAACAATGCTATATATTTTTACAAAAACAGAGATAAGGAATATTATGAATAACACAAAAACACATAACATATACAATGATAATTTCTCAAGTTTAATGATCCAATTTATCAAGGTTATTGTTGAAAAGTGGTGAATCGATGATGATTAACACGTTGATGTGAATTGATAATGGTCGATGGTGGTTAGTGTGAGAGAAATGGATGATTTTGGTGGATGAGAAGGAAAAGAGACGTAATTTTGCAAATTTTGGGAAAAATAAGTAAACCTTACCCAAAGATTTGAATAGTAAGATTTAAAAGATTTTAAAAAATTAAATCGTGAATAGTGTAAGATTTTAAGTTTCGTAAATTTTATATTGAAATCATAATTGAAATAGGTAAGTAGAATCGTAAGATTTTTTAGAATTTAAATCGAGATTTCGACTAATCTACGTCATGGTCGTGCAGCCCGTCCATTACTGTAGGTGTCATTTCAATCTGGTAGGGCTGGAGATCGGGTCAGGTCCTAGTACCCGGACCGAAATAAGCGGGTAGCCGGACCCAAAAAATCCCAGTTTGAGGAACCAGACCCGACCCGAACTCGGTTCTTGGGTACCCGAGACCCGAAGCCACGGTTCTCGGGTATGGTTCGGTCCCCCGAATACCCATCAGCCACCGAAGACAACTTGTTACAACAGCTTTATTCAAGAAAAAAATGGAGGGTTGCTTTCGCTGGCTGCTGGAGTGGGAAGTGGAGAGTGGAGATTCAGGGTTAGGGGTCTAAGGGGGTCCGAACTTCGGCTTGGCTTGGGGCCTGAAGGCTGAGTTGGCCCGTATGTGTGGCTATGGGCCATGTGATATTTGGCCCTGTGGGCTGGGGATCGGTTCCACTTCGGGTCCTTTTATTTTCGGGTCCGGGTTCGGTTTACCCAAAATCCAAAAAATAGCCACATGTGATACCTTGACCCATTTTTTACTATGATATTTCGATTCTCGGGTACCCAAAACTAAGAAATTTCGGTCCGATTCCGGGTTACCCATAAACCGAACCCGAACGTCCAGCCCTACCATCTGGTATAAAACGCTCTGTACATCATCAGACTCAAATCTGACGACATTTATCAAAGGGATCGGTTAGCTAATTGATTGCTACTGGAAATGGCCATCGAAATACTGCAAGTGGCATATGATGTGAATGATATATATTCCTCAATACACTAGTTAAAAGGTAATTAATTTATAAATGGCATATTTTTGCAGCAGATCGAATAAAATCATGCATATGTGGAAAAAATCCAAAAGTACCACTGTTTAGAAAAAAATTTCCAAAAATACCATCCAACCCCAAAAAATTCCAAAAATACCACCCTTTTTCAAAAACCGCCACCCCACCCAGCGGTTTGGTCGAAAACCGCTTGTCGGGGGCGCGGTTTTGGACCAAACCGCGGGCCTAGGGGGCGGTTATAAAAAAAAAAAAAATTTGGACCAAAACCGCTGGGTGGGGTGGCGGTTTGGCCCAAAACCGCCACCCCAACCAGCGGTTTGGTCCAAAAGTTCGGTCGAAACTTCAAACGAACGTAACTTTGCACTCGGGTATCCGATCGTAGCGATTTTTTTTTTCATTTCGCATAACTTTTCAAGATCTACAACTTTTACTAGGATGAAATTTTGCAAAACAGGAACTATTTGTGGATATACGGGACCTTGAGAATAACTTTACCTTTACTTTTCAGAAATCCATGTACATTTTGAAATTATGATTATATTAAAAGTTGTAGATCTTGAAAAGTTATGCGGAATCAAAAAAAAGTTCATAACATTCGGAGTTTGGAGCACAAAGTTATGGCCGCCCAAAGTTTGACGAAAGGCGAGACCCGGCGGTTTGCGGCTTGCAAGATCTCAAAAAGTTTGCGGCCTCCATTTTTTGAATCCGAATCACTTTTTGAGATCTTGCAAGTCTCAAACATTCGGGTTCCGTCTTCGTCTCGAAAAAACGTCATTTGCCACCCCGAACGGCATTTTTTTTTATTTCGTCAAACTTTGGGCGGCCACAACTTTGTGCTCCAAAATCCGAATGTCATGAATTTTTTTTTTATTCCGCATAACTTTTCAAGATATACAACTTTTAATATAATCATAATTTCAAAATGCACATGGATTTCTGAAAAGTAAAGGTAAAGTTATTCTCAAGGTCCCGTATATCCACAAATAGTTCCTGTTTTGAAAATTTCATCCTAGTAAAAGTTGTAGATCTTGAAAAGTTATGCGAAATGAAAAAAAGAATCGCTACGATCGCATACCCGAGTGCAAAGTTACGTTCGTTTGAAGTTTCGACCGAATTTTTGGACCAAACCGCTGGTTGGGGTGGCGGTTTTGGGCCAAACCGCCACCCCACCCAGCGGTTTTGGTCCAAATTTTTTTTTTTTTTATAACCGCCCCCTAGGCCCGCGGTTTGGTCCAAAACCGCGCCCCCGACAAGCGGTTTTCGACCAAACCGCTGGGTGGAGTGGCGGTTTTTGAAAAAAGGTGGTATTTTTGGAATTTTTTGGAATTGAGTGGTATTTTTGGAATTTTTTTTTTAAACAGTGGTACTTTTGGATTTTTTCCTGCATATGTTGGATCATTGTCAGCTAGCTAGCGTAGATTGATATATATTAATCAGTTTAGCAAAGTAATTAAATCAAGATACATATAAACTTAAATAAATTAATTAGTCATCCCTTAACCACTCCATTAATTAATACACTGCATCGGCATTACACATATATACCTAATACTAGCTTGCATATCTACTCCTCGCTGTCGCTGATGTCGTGCATATATGTGCTGGTCATTCGTTTTTTAGCTGACGATCCACCTACTAGAACAGAGGGATCGCTTATATAGTTAATTGATTCAGATTGCCACTTGGTATTAGCCTATTCTATTGTATGGTGTGTTTATCAGGAACTCAACCAGAGAAAGTTAGTTCTTTTATTAAGTGATGAAAGATTTTATTGATAATAAACAGATACAAGTATCCACTAGCACTGAACCAGTCAACAACATGAGGAAACTGTTAAATGGTTTGACACAACATCAAATGAAACTTTGGAGGAGGAAGAGAAAATCGGCGCCTTGTTGATCCTCTTCATACATGTCATGACCATGTCATCTAAGATTTGGAATAACAAACAGAGGTTTTACTTTCTTTAAATTTATCCCGAATTTTTCATTCATATCCAACTCTTTCGGCTCGATCCCATCCGGTAGTTTCCACTCAAACCAATGAATCAGCGAACCCAATATCATATGCAGCATCCTCAATGCCAAAGGTAATCCTGGGCAGATCCTTCTTCCTGCACCGAATGGAATAAGTTCAAAATTGTTTCCCTTAGCATCAACCTCTGAACCCAAGAATCTTTCTGGTAGGAACAAGTTCGGATCATCCCATGTCATTGGATCCCGACCAATAGCCCATACGTTAACAAGAATTCTTGCACCTTTGGGCACGATGAAACCACAAATTTCTACATCTTCCTTAGCCTTGCGGGGAAGGAGAAAAGGCGTTGCTGGGTGTAGTCTGAAGGTCTCTTTCAGTATTGCTTGTAGATATGGTAGACGAGAGATGTCTGATTCTTGAAGATGATTGCCTTTTCCAATAGTTTGGTCTAGTTCTTCCTTGAGTTTAGCAAGTGTGCTGGGACTACGGAGGAGTTCTGTCATTGCCCATTCTAATGTACTCGAACTTGTGTCAGTTCCAGCTGCAAAGAGATGCTGATAGTTCCATGTCACACCAACATTATTTGTGATTAGATAAACAAAAAGAGGAGTGATATTGCTTTCAGTCAGGTGCCCAAAGTAATCAAAATTAAGCTACTCACCAAGAACAAGTGTTTGATGTGAAGTGGATCCATTTGAGCGTCGCGATCGTCGTCATCTCCAATGCCTAGAAGTGTGTCAAGCATGTCGTTAGTGGAGACATAGTGCTCAAACTTGAGCTTTTGCAACCGTTGGTCGATCACCCATCCGAACAGATCCAGCACCTTGGCTACATGGTTCCCCATCCGCCTTTGTATGCCCTGCAGATCCATCTTGGCCAGAAGAGGGAAAAAGTCTCCCAAATTGGGCTTTCCGGCCTCTTCCAGCATCCCCCACGCAAGCTCCTTGAATTCCCGAGCAGTCTCTGACTTCTCCTCAGCTGCAAGATCCATCGACAGAATGGTCGATGACAGAGCATTCAAACTTGCCTTGAACACCAGTCTCCCAACTTCCACTGCCTCCCCCGGCCTCTCACACACATTTCGTCGAACACCTTCCAGGAGCTCTGTAATCTTCTCCCTCCGGAGGTCCTGGTTCGAATCCAACTTCCGGGGGGTGAAGACGTAGGAGTTGCACACTTTCCGGAGATTCCTCCACTTGGAGTCCACGGGGAGCAACGGTAGGCCGAATTTGTGGATGTCACCGGCTTCCATGGCGAGGGTGATATGGCGGTCGGAGAGGAGTTTGTCATGCTTTTGGAGAATCTCCTTGGCTACAGCTGGGGAAGAAGCCACGATTGTGGTGACTTGGCCCAGCTTGAGGCTCATCAAGGGCCCATGGACCTTGGCGAGGTCGGCCAGTGATTTGTGAGGGTTGAGGCCCAGATTGTGGATGTTGCCGATGATTGGCAGCCGGGCGGGTCCAGGCGGGAGTTTGGCCGCCGGAGTTTGGTTGTTGGCTGCTTTCCTTGCCAGGAATCCAAGGAAGGTGAAGGAGAAGAGGCAGAGTAAGCAATTCACGAGGAAGAAGAAGAAGAAATCCATTTTCTCTGGATGGATTGGCTGCGGAGGATGGCTTTGTTCCTGAGAGTCTTAAAGGTTAAAGCTTCCCCTGCTTGCTATCTTGATCGCGAATTATTGTCCAGTATATACAAACAGCAGCTGGCCGCCCTGCATATTACTATTACATTAACATAACATTAGTGTTCTTTCATTGTTGTTTTCTCTCTTTGGAAGGAATCAATAACAGTATTATTTTTTTTATCACAACATGTTAATGTCATATTGGTATTGGAAACTCAACATTGGTTCGTTGGGGTTGGGGAGGTAATGCCATATTCTAATATTTTGATTGCGTATATGCTTTTCTCACTGAACCTCTTAATATTCTAAAATTCAAATAAACCTTAATAATTGATGGTTAAATATTGAAACCCTTTTTTTTTGTTGAAACTTATCTCCCCATATAATTGATGGTTAAATATTGCAAGATAGTTTTTTGGATTTTAGTATTTTCTATTTTGCATAGTGAATTCATTTTAGATTTTGAAGACAAAAGTGAGTATTGGTTTCTGCTCTCCCATTGCCACAATTTAGGGTGAACAAACACACCCGCAATCCGATCCACCCGTCAAACCTGATCCAACTCACCCGTATTTATCGCTAAAACTAAGGTTTTGGGTTGGGTGAGGGTTTTCTTTTCTACAACCCGCCTCTTTTGGGTTGGGTTTGGGTTTTGGATTACACAACCCGTAAAACCCAACCCAACCCGTGTTCCAACTATTGATATGAGTTCGTTTCCAAAAAATATTTATGTCGTATATAACCATACTTATTAGAAAATTAAGATATTTCATCATATTTTTCTCTCATGGTCTCACTAATCTAATGCATTTTTCGGTTAATCATTTTTCTTGTGTATGATTTTAATAGAATTACATATTATGGATGCGTTCGTATATAACATTTTTATCCTATTTCAACAAATGTCGGGAAAAAAACTATATATATATATATATATATATATATATATATATATATATATATATATATATATATATATATATATATATATATATATATATGCTGAAGTAAATCACATTCTAATAAAATTTAAACAACATTTGTGAATTTTGATACCTTTCACCTCGGTTTATTCGTTTGAAATTTTAATTAGTTATAAAATATTTTTATAGTATAGAATAATTACATATTTTGTGTTGGGTTGGGGTTTTACTTAAAAATATCGCCAACCCGACCCAACCCAATTAGAAATAAACCGAAGGGTTTTATTTTTTTTGGTGGGTTTGGTTTAATATTTCTCAAACCGTAATGCATGGGTCGGGTGATTAAAATGGTTAAACCCGGACCACCCGACCCATGTACACCCCTAACCACAATACATTTGACGAGTTCTGGGCTTTGGTAATTGACATCACAACGACAAGCCTGTCTTCCTCTCCTCTGATCCTTTCAAAAGAGCACAGGCCGGATTCTGTGCCCATTGTATTGACGAGGCAAAGTACTCATCTCCAAACCCATCTTTTTCTTGTGCACCCTTATCCGCAGTTTTATTGTGTTTTTTTTTTTCTTCTTACGAAACCTCACTACAAAAAAGAGGTGGTTTGGGAAAGTCGTCCCCGAAAATAGGGAAAATCGTCCCTATAGTTTTTGGGGACGACTAAGTCGTCCCCAATGTGTGGTTCCCTATACTCTTGTCCTCTATTTTTTTGGGGACGACAAAAATATAGGTTGTCCCCATTACTGGGGACGACTATCGTCTCCTATACGTGCAAGTCGTCGTCTAGTTTCTGTTCCATGAAAGACAACATGTCGTCCCTATAGCTATAACTTTAGCGACAATAAGTCGTCCCCTAAACATCATTTCCAGGGACAAACTGTTGTCCCACATAATGATTTCATGATTGTCTTACGCCTATATGGAGATAATATATCGTCCCCTTTTCTTTTTATAGGGTCGACATGTCGTTCCTATGATATTAAATAGGAGTTTAAATAGGAGTCCAAAAATCGTCCCAAAAAATGTTATTCAATGACTACAAGTTGTCTCTTATACTATATCTTTAGAGACAACAAGTTGTCACCTATAATTTTAGGGACGAACAATTGTTGCTTAACTTGTGTTTTGGGGGACGAGGAGTTGTCATTTATGCACCTTTTTAGGAACGACTAATTGTCCTTTAAGTGATATCATTGAGAATGTGAAAATGTCATCTACTTGAATTCTAGGGACGACTGGGTGTCCCTTAAACAATGTCTTTGGGGATGATAGATTGTCACATATTATTATAGAAAGAGCATCCACAATTAGCAACATTCTTTTGAAGATAAAAGTAAAGAGTAAAATATCAATAAAAAGAATTAATTATTTAGTATCCAAATTACTACCGTACATTGGACAATGAAATAAATAAGAACTCCATCAATTCGAAAATTCCTTCAAGGATTCTTGATCACCCAGGTTTAGATCAGATTGCGTCTGAAATGGTAGCAAAACAAAGAAAATCATTCATCTTAGTCATGAGATAATTAGTCCATAAAACAAAAACGAAAAATAAAAGGAACAAACCCCTATCTAGAAACCCGATAACTTACATGGTGAAAAATCAGGACGTTAGCACAAAGTGTAGTTGATCGATCTGGTGAGGCAAACCATAGCCGATAACAAAAATGGAGAAACGCGGCTTCCCTTGCAATTAATTAACTGCAACTTTTGATAGAAGAAGAGTGCACTGTGCTTTGTACAATCGCTCTGCCTGAAGAACGCCTAAATGAACCCTGACTCCCACTTGATCGTCGTGCATACATTGATGGACGATGTTAATAAACCCCGCAGATCAGTTGGTCGGAAGCAGGGCGCGTGATGACGACCATTGTCGCAATGCCTCTCTGTGCAATTCTGAATTGAGACGTCGTGAAAATAAAGAGAAGATTGCAGCGCGGCGGGCGGAAAACCCTAAGGGAAAGAAGGGAATGAAATAGGAGTCGTGAATGGAATATGATAATTAAGGGAATGTATCTATATATACCGTAATAATGGTTAAACGAAAAATATAATATATATATCAGAGTTAATTAAGATGTATATATGATCATGATTCGATTTTCCCTTTTGAATTTTTTAGTTTTTTTTCGAATTACCATTATTATTTGACTAATGATTTCCGTAACATACGTCGCTGTCTTCTACTTGTTCCTAATACAACCATAGCTGTAAGATCAGCAAGGAATCAAATCCTTTGCTGATCATGGTAAAGATTGAAATCGTTGGGTTTAACTTGTATATTATTAGGCCGGATATATAAAACGTAAAGATGGTTAGGGGTGTGCAGTTGTTGGGTTTTATATTAAAAATTAACTTGTATCTTTAGTGTTATACAAATCCAGTTTGTTCTTATATAGTACAGATATTTTTAATGTTATAATACAAATTCAATTTCTTCATATACCTTTTCATACAATTTTCTTTATGGTACAAACTGGACTTGTACGTTTAATGTTAGGTACAAGTTTAGTTTGTACCTATACATTTTTGTATGATTTAGTTATGATACAAACTGAACTTGTACCTTTGATATTATAATACAATTTCAACTTATACTCGAAAACATCAATACTTTTGGAGTATAATAGATCGCCTCACGATACTTAGAATACATAGGGATGGTAAACGATTATCCTGTTACTAGTGTAACTGATAATCAAATCCGAACTGATGATTAATGGTTGCACCTATAGCCGATTAAACACTAAACAGTTGGTTCTCGGTAGCCAAATTTAGCTAATTATTAACGAACTGTTAAACGATTAGTAACAGATGGTTAAACGGTTAACCGATTATGAAGATCCTCATAGTTAGAGCCAAAAATAATAGGTCTCGATGAGATGCAAGAATAGACAAAAAATAATGGAATGCTTGAAGGCCTACACGATTCCTTGTCTACCCTAGTTGTAATAGTGACTTTTTTTTTTTATAAAATGTAATAGTGACTTAGGTTCAAATGATAATAATTTCAAGAAAAGGCTTTAGAAGGAGCACAATAGAAAGTTGGTCGTGTGCACAATAGCTCAACAACAATCACTAACATTTAAGGTTCCATGTAATTTGGTGGGATTTTTTAGTTGAGTAATTGTTGTTTGGACACTTATCTTATTTGCTTCTACAGTCGAATTTGACGGTAAAATGGTGTTATTATGTACTTATGTTGGATTGAGTTGAATACGGAGTGAAAAAAACAACACATACTTATGTAGGAAAAAATCTGGAAAAATGCACAATTATAAAAAGGAGGTCTTATATGTTGGTTAGGTTATTGACCGGTTATTTTGATATAATCTTGGGGGGTCACTTACTTAACTGTTATCCGGTTAACTAATAAAATAACGGAAAATCGACTATACAATTACGATTAACCAACTAATATAAATGATGTAGTTAATGATAGGCATAAAATACTTAACAGTTAATCGAGAACCGACTAAACGATTCCAGTTATAACTAAACCGAACCGATTAACATCCGAATGCACTAATTAGTATGCTTCAAAATTGGGCATCAAAATACTAATTCAAAACGAAAAGGTAAATAAATACTAAGCCTATAAAAGTAACGAGTTCAAAAGTACATAAACAAATAGCGCAGTAAACAATCTTCAAGGTGGACAGGAAAAAGCAAAATTCTGAGAAATGAACGGAGAAAGTTAAAAATTAAACTTAAAAGAGATAAACTTGCTGATCTTGATTCGGGGACAAAAGAATCCACCCGATAATATATTTCCCCCAATTCTCGTCCAAGTTTTATGTCTCTTTTTACCAAACTTTTACTTTTGGGGACAACTCACCAAAACCCAAAATTAATCAATTTTCATTCATTATTCAATGGGGACAATTTCTACGTTTTGTCCCTGATAGTACTTAAAACTATATTTCCGAAGACAACACATATTAGTTGTCCCCCATACTAGTCCCCAAACCTATTCATTTTTGTAGTGCCTTATTTCATTACAAAATAGGTGAGCTACGAAACAGTTTTATTGGTTGCTACTGTAATAATCAAACAAACGATCAATGAGATACACGATCTATACAAGTAAAGAAGCTTAGATACAAAATGTTGGTTACTGTTGGGGGTGTTACTAAGGGACAGAGCGCACAGACTAAGCAGTAGGGCGCATAATCGGCGATGCCCAACGCTCGATACCCGCTACAGGTATATAAGGGCTTGAAGCCCTCCAAAGAGAGGGACTCCTCTCTCTCTCCTCACTTTCCACTTTCCACTATCTCTCTACACTTTATCTCTCTACCTTATTCTCTCAACTCTCTCCAGAAACTTATACTAACTTGATCGTCGGAGCTTAATCCGGGGGGCATCCCCGACTCTTTCACAGGTTCTCTCCCTCCCGACGAGATTGGACGAACGGATCGTGAGTCAACCCCACACCAACAAATATCATTGTTCGCATCCTGAGTTAGATGGGTCAAACAATTGGCGCCCACCGTGGGGCAGGCTACACACTCGTTCGTCGGACTCAAAAGAAGGGAAGGCAGATTCTTCATCGATCACTGCAAGCAGCGGAAACTAAAAACAGGGGAAAGAGCTTGAGCAACGAAATTCCACCAAGATCCAGGGATATCTTCTTTTGCTCGAACAAGAAGAAAAGTCGATCAACTCTCAAAAATCAAAAGAAGACTAGCAGAGCCTCTCCTCATCTGTCTTCCTCGTCAATTCAATCAGATCTGCCTCTCTCCGGAGCGCCCTCGTCACCTTCCGAGACAAACCAGATCCAATCGAAGAAACAACACTGTAAAATTTACAGATTTTGGCCGGCGGCTGCTCCTCCTCCAAGACACTCACCGCCGACTTCCTCTTCCCCATGGAGGGACTTTCCTCCGCGAACCACAGGTAGTAGCAGCTGGGAAGAAGAAAGAAAATCTGGTCGCCGCGACATGTCAAGGTCGGAGCTCCGACGGCGCGAAGAAGAAGTCGTCACCGCCGGCGCCAAGGCGAAGGAGATCGCCGATCTGAAGAAGCAGCTTGCAGCTGGGTCCACCGCCGACTTCCTCTTCCCCATGAAGGGACTTTCCTCCGCGAACCACAGGCAGTAGCAGCTGGAAAGAAAGAAAATTTGGTCGCCGCGACATGTCAAGGTCGGAGCCCCGACGACGCGAAGAAGAAGTTGTCACTGCAGTTGCTGCTGTCACGTCGCCACCCTCCCGTTCTGTCGCCGACCTCTGAAAAAGGTGGACTACTCAAGTACAAGTAGTGGTCTCGGCAAATCAAAAAGGGGGAATAGTCAAATCAATTTCTCTCTCCGTCAGAAGAAAAGACAGGTGCAGTTCTCAATGTGGCCACTTGCCCACTTAAAAAAAAAAAAAGGGTGAAAATGGAGCAAAATGCGCCGGACATTATGCTAAGCGCTGCTGTTCTCAATGTGGGCCCGCCGCTCATCAGCCTCCCACCAGCCCATCTCCACAGGCGCATCCCCCGCCTCTTAAGCCCGCTCCACACCTCCACTCGCGGCCCAGACTCGCGTGCAAGTCTACAGCCCACCTTACCCCATCTGGGCCCACACACAGCTCGCGCCCCGCCAGGTCAGGGCTCCACTCCGCGGCGGATCAATTAAGCCCACCACTTGATGCGGACTCAACCGCCGCCGCCCCACAAGACGCGCAACATGGGCCGTCGCGTCCTCAAGCCCGCGTGACAACCCGCCATACCACATGGGCTCGCTCCTTGTTCACAAGCGCGCGGCAAGATGGGCCCGCACACAACTCGCGTCCCCAAGCTCCGCTTCGCTTCAAAAAATTATTGTCGCCACAGGGATTCGAACCCGCGCCACCCTTCCACAAGACGAGCATCCTTACCAGCAGGTTACAAGCACACCTTGTGTTTCAATGGCGCGCGGCCAACTTAAAACCTCCTGCACCCTTGCTCGCGCCCAAGCGCACTCGCGGCCCGACTCACAGGCGGCCCAACTCGCGTCCCACCTTCCGCCTCAAACCCACTCGCGGCCCGCTCCACCCTTCAGCTCGCGCCACCCGGCCCACCTTCCGCCTCAAAACCACTCGCGCCCCGCTCCACCCTTCAGTCGTGCGCGAGGCACCCCAAAAAAATCGTGGGTGGTAGACAGGCGTCGAACCGCTGACCAACCATTCGCGTGCAAGCAAACGGAACCAGTGGACTACGCAACAATAGTTGTCAATTGAGCGCGGAAGGTTGATCTTACCCTTTTGCTCGCGCCAGCCCGAATCGCGGCCCGCACTCATGAATCGAAGTCCGCCCACAGTCACGGCCCTCACTCCCATCCCTCTCGCTATTCCACGCGGATCGGCCCGCTTCGTTCACACGCCCGGCCCAACAGGCGCTTAACTCTTCCACAAAAAATTATTGTCGCCGCCAGCCTTTGAACCTGCGCCACTCTTCCACAAGACAAGCATCTCTACCAGCAGGCCACAAGTACCTTGTGTTTCAACGGTGTGGCGTCTGAATTTTAACATTCGCGCCCAATCAGTTCGAAAAAAAAAAAAAAAAAAAAAAAAAAAAAAATTAGTATGAGTCCAGCACTCTGCGCTCAGTTCCACGGAACAAAACTTAGCAATAGTCCAGCACTATTCGCGCCCAATCAGTTCGAAAGAACAAAAAATTAGTATGAGTCCAGCACTCTGCGCCCAGTTCCACGGAACAAAACTTAGCAATAGTCCAGCACTATTCGCGCCCAATCAGTTCGAAAGAACAAACAATTAGCAATAGTCCAGCACTATTCGCGCCCAGTTCCAAGGAACAAAAAATTAGCAATAGTCCAGCACTATTCGCGCCTAGTTCGAAAGAACAAAAATTAGCAATAGTCCAGCACTATTCGCGCCCAGTTCGAAAGAACAACCTGCAGGCTACCACTCAGGTTCTGTTTCAACGGCGCAGCGCCCGCCTTTCAACTACTCCTGCCGCCACTGCCAATATAAAGCTAAGTACTCTATCCCTCCATCATTATTAAATTTTTAAAATATTTTACTATCCTAAGCGTTAATGGCGCTAATGGGGGGCAAGACGCAAGAAGCTGGCGCCGCGTCACTCAAACGCGCCACCAGCTGGGGGGCAATTGGGGTACATAGGCCCCACCCAAAATTACCGACAAAGATTTAAAAAATAAAATATAAGCTAGTGATGAATTAAAACTCACCACCAGCTTGGGGGGCAATTGTTGGGGGTGTTACTAAGGGACAGAGCGCACAGACTAAGCAGTAGGGCGCATAATCGGCGATGCCCAACGCTCGATACCCGCTACAGGTATATAAGGGCTTGAAGCCCTCCAAAGAGAGGGACTCCTCTCTCTCTCCTCACTTTCCACTTTCCACTATCTCTCTACACTTTATCTCTCTACCTTATTCTCTCAACTCTCTCCAGAAACTTATACTAACTTGATCGTCGGAGCTTAATCCGGGGGGCATCCCCGACTCTTTCACAGGTTCTCTCCCTCCCGACGAGATTGGACGAACGGATCGTGAGTCAACCCCACACCAACAAATATCATTGTTCGCATCCTGAGTTAGATGGGTCAAACAGTTACCGTTTCCGACAAAAATAAGTATATTTGGCATTTTGTTTAAAAATGAGTTTTTGTCACAAAGATCATAAGGCCGTTCCATCCACCCACTGTTAAGTCCAACTCAAGGTGAGACAAATGTTTGACGTAATTAAAGGAGCAGAAGATTATGAAGTTTTCAACGCATGGGTGAGCTACAATATTTTTAAAAGTTTATTTTTGAAAAAAAACTGAGACTACATACACTTTCGCTATGAAGATTCTAAATGCGACTTATTAGAGATTGTTAGTGAAAATAAGATATCCTGCAAGACCAAAGTCGTCATTATATAGAACGGACTTCAATCTGAATAAAGTTTTTAGTTCATAATAATGAAATAAAACATCCAAAAAGAAGAAGGAAAAAACAACCCTGCGCCACTCAACCCTTACCCACTTATGCCCCGTTTGGTTCCCTCAACAGTCAACAACATGAGTGAATGTAAACCTCACGTTTTAGAAATGGCCACCTACCTTCCCTAAAACTGTTCCACCAATAAAACTGCTTCCGGCCACTCTACATAATATAGCCTCAGTCCTTGAGAAACCCCCAACCATTTTCAAAACCTGACCCTTCTTTGCTGTAGAAAGTGACGCAACTGCAAAATGGGCAAGAGTGAGGAGGTGGTTCTACTGAACTACTGGCCGAGCCCGTATGGGATGAGGGCAATGATTGCGCTGGCGGAGAAAGGAGTCCAGTACGAGTACGTCAGCGTGGACGTCGTCAACAACAAGACCGAACTTCTGCTTCAGATGAACCCGGTTCACAAGAAGGTCCCCGTCCTCATCCACAACGGCAGCCCCGTCTGCGAGTCTCTCGTCATCGTGCAGTACATCGACGAGCTCTGGGCCGCCGACGGCAAGCCTGTCTTCCTCCCTTCCGATCCATACCAAAGAGCCCAGGCCCGATTCTGGGCCCATTATATCGACGAGGTACATACATTTATATAGTAATCTGCTCATCTCCAAGCCCACCTTGTTCTTGTGCACCATTGTCCACATTTTATACATGAATAATAATTAATGTTTGTGGTGCAGATATTTGAGTTTGGGAGGAAGATCTGGATAAAGACAGGGGAGGAAGTGGAAAACGGGAAGAAGGAGCTAGTTGACTCCCTCAAACTCATGGAGTCACAGCTTGGTGACAAACCCTACTTTGGAGGGGAAGAGCTTGGCTATGTGGACATTGCTCTGGTTCCATATTACAGCTGGTTCTATACCTATGAGCAGTTTGGGAACATCAGCATTGAAGCAGAGTGCCCCAAATTGGTGGAGTGGGCTAAGAGATGCATGAAGAAGGAGAGTGTTTCCAAGGCTCTTCCTGATCCTGTTAAAGTGCATGACTTTGTTGTCATGCTCAGGAAGAAATTTGGCGTTGATTCTTAGTTATAAGTGTGCTACAATGTCCAAAGAATGGTTGCTTAATAAGGCTTTACTGTAATGGTAAGACAAGCGAAATAAGGAGAGAAAAATGGGTTGCGCCTCAATTCCATGTGTGGTCTCTCTAACTGGACGGGACGATTTATTTGAAATATCAATTAGATACTCGCTAATCCCCAAATCTTTTTGTCAAAATGTCACTTTCAAAATACTCAAACCAAAAATAATGTTTTCAAATAACATATTACAAGAGCAATAGTTTTCAAATACAGTGAATAGTCTTGATATGCCAGAATCAGCTCATATAGGAGTTGGAACAGCAAGCAAAGGCTCGGCCTTTTGCAAGGCCATCCCGAACTTCTCTTCCATATCTATCTTCTCTGGCATGACCACGTTTGGCAACTTCCACTCAAACAAATGAACCAAGGAACCCAACATCACGTGCAACATTCTCAATGCCAACGGCATTCCAGGACAAATTCTTCTTCCTGCACCGAATGGAAGTAGTTCAAAATTGTTCCCCCTTAGCATCAACCTTTGAACCCAAGAATCTTTCCGGCATGTATGAGTTCGGATTTTCCCATGTCATCGGATCCCGGCCTATTGCCCATACATTGACTAGAATTTTAGCACCTTTGGGCACTGTGAAACCACATATTTCCACATCCACCCCTGCCTTGCGAGGAAGCAGTAAGGGAACTGCAGGGTGTAGTCTAAATGTCTCTTTCACTACTGCTTGTAGATATGGTAATCGAGGGACGCCTGACTCCTGAAGATGAATGCCATTTCCAATAGTTTGGTTAAGTTCTTCCTTAACTTTAGCAAGTTTGTCGGAATTGTGTAGCAACTCTGTCATAGCCCATTCTATCGTGCTCGAAGTTGTATCCGTACCGGCTACAAAAAGATCCTGATAAACCAAGATAAGTGAGGAAAATGAACGAAGAGAAACAGAGTGATGAAAATCAAGAGCTAGCCCCTACATTAAGTTGTTTCGACAAAACAATACTTCCTTTTGACAATAAATTTTATGATATCATCTCGTTTATCTACTAATGGTTCCTTTATCAATAATTTTATTCATGCTCTTGATGACTCTCACATGCCTAAAATTTTTTCCTTTTTCTACCCGCATTGATTAAGGTCCTATAATTCCTAAGATAGACATATTGATGAAAATAACATCAAGGATATGTGGAATTTTGGACTAGAAATAAAGCGTAAAACCATGGGTTTACCAGCCTAACTAGTCGGTAAGCTTTGATGTGGTCAAAACTTTTGACTAAAGGTCTCTAGCTACTTAATTAAACACCTATGGGTTAATCAAAAGTACTCACCAAGAACAAGTATTTGATGCAATTTGAATCCATGGTAGTCTCGCGATTGTGGTCTTCATCTCCAATGGCAAGAAGCGTGTCGAGCATGTCGTTGGTGGAGGCATAGTTCTCCGACTTCAGCTTCCTGAGTCGTTCGTCGATGATCCATCCGAACAAATTCAAAACCTTCCCTAGATATACCTTCATCCGCCTCTGGATCCCCTGCAAATCCGACTTCGCCAGAACAGGGAAATAGTCTCCCAGATTGGGCTTGACGCCCTCTTCTATTATCCCTCTCGCAAGCTCCTTGAACTCCCTGGCGGTCTCCGACCTCTCCTCGTCCGCCAGATTTAACGAAAAAATACTGGCCGACAAAGAATTCAACGTGGCATTGAACGCCGCTCTCCCAACATCCACCACTGCCTTCTCATACGCATTTCGTCGAACACCTTCCACGAGCTCCACAACCTTGTCATTGCGGAGCTCTTGGTTCGCATCCATCTTCTGGGTAGTGAGGCTATATGAATTGCACACTTTCCTGAGATTCCTCCACTTGGAATCCACGGGGAGCGCGGTCAAGCTGAAGTCGTTGAGGTTGTGGGCTTTCCCGGCAAGGACGAGATGGCGGTCGGAGAGGACTTTGTCGTGCTTTTGGAGAATCTCCTTGGCTACAGCTGGGGAAGAAGGGTGACCTGACCCAGCTTGAGGCTCATCAGGGGGCCATGAATTTTGGCGAGATTGGCCAGTGATTTGTGAGGGTTCTCGCCGAGATTGTGGAGGTTGCCGATTATGGGGAGCCGAGCGGGGCCCTTGGGCGGCGGAGTTCTCTTTGCCTGCAGGTAGAGGTGACAATTTCAATCCAATCCACCAATCCATTAAAAATATCCACCTAATCCAATCCATTTGATCCAAATCCAATTGGATTGGTGGATTCATGGATTGGATCCATAGATGATTGGCAAATTACAGTTTAGTACCTACAATTTTTATTTTTTACATTTGGTACCTAACATTTAATTTTTTATACGAAAAATATCATTGGAAAATTACGTTTTGGTACCTAAAATTTTTCATTGTGACATTTTAGTACCTAAACTTTTTACATTTTACATATTGGTCCTTGGTTGAGGATGTCATTTGGATTCATGGATAATCCACCAATCCACTTGATCCAATCCATGAATCCACCAATCCATTAGATCCAATCCATTTGATCCATGGATCCACCAATCCACCAATCCAATCCATTTGCCACCTCTACCTGCAGGAATCGAAGGAAGGCGATGATGGTGAAGATGAGGCAGAGTAAGCAATTGAATAGGAAAAAATCCATTCTGGAACAGAGACAGATTGAGGGAGGGGATTTGCTCTATTATTTTCTCAGTTTGGCTTTGAGCTTCGAATTACTTCCCAAAGCAACTTGACGCATCCAATTTTGTTATTTTTCATAATTCAGAAACCTCCATGTGATCATTTAATAAATGTGCAGATTCACCTATTCAAATCGAGATCAGTTAAGGAACATGGGAAAGTCTTCGAACGCAGCTAAGCAAATATGGATGGGACATGGGAGGCTTAAAAATAATTTAACAAAATAGTGTACTGCTTTGATAGAAACCATATACTGTACTGCATGATATGATTACGACAAGGAGATCAAGTCTTGTTACGCATGATTCGTCAAATCAATCTTCTTATCCGGTTTTGGAGAATACACTTAACAAAATCGCAACTTTCTTAAATAAATTTTAAATTAAAAAAAATTAATCTTAAATAAATCATTTAAAAGTATCAAATAACTATTAAATCAGAGCTCGGTTTCAATCTCAATGGATAGTGTTTTAATACATTTAACGTGAGTGAAGCAGTAAAATCCCATAAACAAACACTCTCACTCTTCTGTTAATTATTTTTGGGCTAAATTACACGTTTGGTCACTCAAATTATATAAATCTTTCACGTTTGCCACCCGAATTACTTTTCTTTCTTATTCGCCACTAACTTTACGAATCGTTTCACCGTAGCCACCCACCGTCCAATTCCGTTAAAATCATCCTACGTGGCAGTCAACCAAAGCCTTTGACCGTTAGTTTTGATGACGTGGCAATTAAAAAATAATATAAAAATAATAAAAAATAAAAAATAAAAAATAAAATCATTTTTAACCGGTCACCGCCGGTGGTCGTCGCCATGCCTCTAATCCAAACCCTGACCGCAATCGGAGCCTGCGCCCCGCCGCTCGCGATCCCGGCCGAGGCAGCTCGCCGAGCGACGGCGCCTGCTCCTCCGCCAGTCGCCGAGGATAAATTGCGCAGCGCCAGAGCAGCCACACCCAGCCTGCTGGCTCCACCGCGGCCCATCGTATACATCATCGTCGCCGTTGATATCACCGATCGAACACCAGAAAGAAAGCTCGGCAGTAATTCTAGAGAGAGAATTGTTGGAGGAAGTTTTCGCTAATTCTTCGGAGTAGTGATTGTGAGAAAGAATTGAGAAAGGGGGGTTTTTGCTTTTGCTTGGAGAAGACGATGGGGTTTAAGGGAGGTTTAGCTATTTATATACACAGCCACGCGGCGCAGCATGCAATACGAAAATCCGGCGAGCGAAAGGCTTCGGTAGGGGCAATTTGCAGGAAAGATTCTTGTGAAGTAGAAACCCAAGCAGCTGGGAGGTGGTTGGAGGACCAGATCTGGAAAAGAAACGAAGTATAGAATGGCAAGGTTGGAAATAATATAAAAATGATTTTATTTTTTATTTTTATATTATTTTTTATTTTTTATATTATTTTTTAATTGCCACGTCATCAAAACTAACGGTCAAAGGCTTTGGTTGACTGCCACGTAGGATGATTTTAACGGAATTGGACGGCGGGTGGCTACGGTGAAACGATTCGTAAAGTTAGTGGCGAATAAGAAAGAAAAGTAATTCGGGTGGCAAACGTGAAAGATTTATATAATTTGAGTAATCAAACGTGTAATTTAGCCATTATTTTTGCCCCGACAGTTGACCAAAAAGCTACATCATGTGCACAATTCTTGAGGGCACCAGGATGGCAATGAATCTAATAAGCACCAGGACAATAACTAAGGAGTCTAATATTTTGTTTGACCAGAAGATTAAGAGTGCGATATCTTATATGTTTGATCCACCTTGATTTTTTTGTTTGTTTGTTCAATTCTCATCTTACATTATTATATCCTCCTTTTTTTATGAATAATATTATATCCTCCTTTTAATTTCACCGAAAATATAATCAATGCAATGTTCAAGAATTAAAAAAAAATTCGTACTAACTAGTTTGGAATTTTTCTTGTCCAGACCTAGAAGTTGAGAATGAGTATTTTCATTATTCTAGAGTTGGAGTGATTATGAAAGTATGTTATTGGACTCTAAATAAGTTTTTATAGATTTCACAATTAAGATACGTCGAATTTACAACGAGCTCTGATTTTTTAATTTAATATATATTATAAATCGTTAATATTGGCAAATAGCAGGATAATAGTATATCAACTCACCTCATATTCTAAATCATGCATGTTTCCGTAGCTTCTCCTGTCAAACACCATTGTTGCTCCATGCATATGGAACTGGTCATTTGAATTAATACTTAGTGTAGTTTGGTAGTTGTGATTGTTAATTATAGTTGTGTTTATCAAATACATGCATTATGCACAATACAATGTTTGGAAGTGTCAGAGTGTAAAACAATGCATGTATTGTTCTAGGTAGGTTCCACCAACAATCACAAAAAAATCATGTAAATTTTCGTTTATGCAGTGTTGGAGATAATGGTAAGACAAGCGTAATAAGAAGAAAATAATGGATCGAGTCTCAATTTAATGTTTGAACTCTAGCTCGATGGGACGATTTATTTGAATTATTAATGTGTTCCTCGCTACTCCCGAATGTTTTTCTTTAAAATGTAAATTTCAAAATACTTTGAGAAAGAAAATAATGTCACCAAACAACATATTACAATAGCAGTAGTTTTGAAATAGAGTGCATAGTCTAGATCATCTCATATGGGAGTTGGAATAGCAAGCAAAGCATCGGCCTTTTGCAAGGCTAACCCAAACTTCTCTTCCATATCTATCGTCTCTGGCATGATTCCATCTGGCAATTTCCATTCAAACCAATGAATCAAGGAACCCAACATCATATGCAACATTCTCAATGCCAATGGCATTCCAGGACAAATTCTTCTCCCTGCACCGAATGGAAGCAGTTCAAAATTATTCCCCTTAGCATCAACTTTTGAACCCAAGAATCTTTCGGGCATGAATGAGTTCGGATTGTCCCAAGTCATCGGATCCCTACCTATAGCCCATACATTGACTAGAATTTCAGCACCTTGGGGCACGGTGAAACCACATATTTCCACATCCACCCCTGCCTTGCGAGGAAGTAGCAAGGGAGCTGCTGGGTGAAGTCTAAAGGTCTCTTTCACTACTGCTTGTAGATATGGTAGTCGGGAGACGTCAGACTCCTGAAGATGAATTCCTATTCCAATAGTTTGGTTAAGTTCTTTCTTAGCTATAGCAAGTTTGTCGGGGTTGCAAAGCAACTCTGTCATGGCCCACTCTATCGTGCTCGAAGTTGTATCTGTACCGGCTACAAAAAGATCCTGATAAACCAATATATGTGAGCAGAAGGAATGCCGAGAAACTTAGAGTTTATCATCAAGAGCTAGCCCCTACATAACGTTTGTTTCAACAAATACGTACTTCCTTTGACTATAAATTTGATTGTATCAAGAATTTTGTCAAGAATTCTATTAGATTATTACTCATTAGAATTTTGTCCATATCCTTAATGACTCTCACATGCCACACACACTTAAAAAAAATTCAACTTATATTAATTAACATCTCGACCCTTTAATCCAAAAAAAAAAAAGACACAATGATAACAGCATCAATTCAAAGGATATGTGAAATGTTGGAGTACGTAAGTGTAAAACCATGGATTTACCAGCTTAACTCATCTACTTAAACACCTTCGGGTTGATAAAAAGTACTCACCAAGAACAAGTGTTTGATGCGATGTGAATCCATGGTAGTCTCGGGATTGTGGTCTTCATCTCCAATGGCAAGAAGCGTGTCGAGCATATCGTTGGTTGAGGCATAGTTTTCCGACTTGAGCCTTTGCAGCCGTTGGTCGATGACCCATCCGAACAAATTCAAAACCTTTCCTATATGACCCTCCACCCGCCTCTGTATCCCTTGCAAATCCAACTTTGCCAAAACTGGAAAATAGTCTCCCAGGTTGGGTTTGCCGGCCTCCTCCATTATCCCCCTCGCAAGATCCTTGAACTCCCTGGCGGTCTCCGACCCCTCCTCATCCGCCAGATTTAACGAAAAAATAGTCGCCGACAGAGAATTCAACGTGGCATTGAACGCCGCTCTCCCAACATCCACCACTGCCTTCTCAGACGCATTTCGTCGAACACCTTCCACGAGCTCCACAACCTTGTCATTGCGGAGCTCTTGGTTGGCATCCAGCTTCTGGGGCGTGAAGATGTATGAGTTGCACACTTTCCTGAGATTCCTCCACTTGGAACCCACGGGGAGGGCCGTCAAGCTGAAGTCGCAGATGTTGTGGGCTTTCCCGGCGAGGGAGACGTGGCGGTCGGAGAGGACTTTGTCGTGCTTTTGGAGAATCTCCTTGGCGGCAGCGGGGGAAGAAGCCACGATTAGGGTGACCTGGCCCAGCTTGAGGCTCATCAATGGGCCATGGATTTTGGCGAGATCGGCCAGTGATTTGTGAGGGTTCCTGCCGAGACTATGGAGGTTGCCGATTATGGGGATCCGAGCGGGGCCCGGCGGGAGGTTAGGCGGCGAAGTTCCTCTTGCCTGCTGCAGAAATAGGAGAAATGCGATGATGGCGAAGATGAGGCAGAGCAAGCAATTCAAGAGTAAGAAATCCATTATGGAACAGAGACAGATTGAGAGGCAATTTGATCTGTTATTTAAGCCGCCAATGCAAGTATATGTAGTTAAATAAACGTCCCATTTGATATTTTTCTTGGTAATTGGTGAAGGTCCAAAAATAGAGTTAGTGTGATAGATTCTATTTTTTCATATTATTATTGGACCAATATGTTAACGTGATGTGCTAATCTTTTTACAATAATGTCCTTAGCACTTTTTTTTTTTGGTGTAAACTTAGCACATTTTTTAAACTACGACTGATATTTTGTCTGGCTTATCTGCCATGTTTAGTTGTTTACAAATAAATGTCTGTGTGTATTAAGAAATCTTTTTTACTTTTAATACTTCTACAGTGACTCAGTGAGTGAAGCAGAAAAATACTAAAATCCCAAAACAAACACTCTCACTCTGTTAGAAATTGTTTTTGCCCCAACGCTTGACCAAAAGCTAGATCGTGAATGCGGGCAATATTAGACAAACCTTTGAATCCACCCTTTTAATTCATGATAAGATGCGATAGACTTTACAAAACAGTAAAGTCTTGCCAAAAAAGTTAGCTATATGTATTTTTTGCTGAAATAATGATTTAATAGTAGTTCAATCATTTTATACCACTAAAATACTCTATTTATTTAGACTTTGATAGTATATTTTTTCGATTGAACCACTATTAATGTACAGTTTCACAAACATTGAACTAATAGACTTTTTAACGACCCACGCATCCACCATATATAACCTATGCAAACTTCAAGGAAACATATATTTACCATAGTGACCAATTGGTCACTAATCCCAAAGTTCAGTGGCTAAAATATGATAGAGATCCATGGAAACCATCATTTAGACCTTAGTGACTAATTGATCACTAATCCCAAAGTTCAGTGGCCATTCCTGCAAAATTGGTCATTCCTGTAAGTTTGCTCTGTTATTTTCTCAGCTTGAGGTGCCAATTACTTCCCAAAGCAAGTAGATGTATTTCAATACACATCCTTTTCTTTTCATTATTCAGATAGACCAATGGAAATCGAGGTCTATTAGACCAACTCCAATGCAAGCTCCCAAATTTGGGGATCTTCATCCCCAAATTTGGGGTTCATCCCCATTTTTCCTTCTTTTGCTCCAATGCAACATCCTCTATATTTGGAGATCTCCATTTTTTAAGTTTTTTATTTACTTAAAAATGTACTTATCGAAGCCTTAATATAATTTGTTCATGTTAATTTTTGTATAGTTTGTCATCATTTTTAAATACAAATTTTCAGGTATAAATTTTTTAAATTTTGAGACCAAATTTTTGTTGACAAAAAATGATTGACCTAATTTGGGTTTACACACAACACTTGAAAATTATTGATCCAATTAAACCCCTAACTAATCCCCTAATTAAACCCCAATTAACCCTTAAAATCTTAAAAAGAAAAAGAAACGCCACGTGGCGGGCTTTGGAGAGTCTCTATATTTGGGGGAACCCCCATTTTCACCCCCAAATTTGGGGATCATTTTGGAGATCTCCCCCAAATATAGAGACTCCTCCATTTATAGAAGCTCCATTGGAGCCAACTTTCCCCCAAATATAGAGGCTCCCCCATTTATAGAGGCTCCATTGGAGTTAGCCTTAAGGAACATGGAAAGTCTTCGAATGCAATGCAGCTGGCAATATGGAGGCTTAAAACTAATTTAACAAAATGAGTCGTCTATGCATGAATTATCATTATTATATTAAAATCACTGCCAACAGTTGACAAAAAGCTAGATCATGATCAATCATGTGATCCTGTAATGTGCGATATAATTAATGCTTGGTGCATGAGATCATAACTAAGGAATCTGATATTTTGTTTGACCCGATGATGATTATGAGTGCATAGTCTTTTTTTATATGCCAGAATCATTTTCAAGGAATCTGATATTTTGGGTTAGATTTGTGATATTGAATAATTTAAGCCACAAATGATACTTTTTGAATAGTTTGGGCTTCCTAGTGGAATTATCACTTGTTTTTATCCCAACATTTTACCTAAAGCTAGATCATGAATGTGGACAATATTAGAAAAACCATTTATTGGCCCAAAAAATCATGATGAATCATGTGATCATGTAATGTAAGATATTATTAATGCATGCTTGATGCATGGAAACATATATAACTAAGGAATTCAATATTTTGTTGACCAGAAGATCATGAGTACGATATCCTAGGTATTGGTCCGGATTTTTTGGTGAAAGTCTCATCTTACATTTATTCTATCTTCCTTTAGTAGTGTTAGTCTTATGATGTAGTTCTTATTATGTCAAAGTACGAATACTATGATGTAATTTCTTAAGATTATTTTCGTACTAGTTTGGATTTCTTCTAATCAGCGTCCTAAAAATCAAATGAGTATTTTTTTATTATACTAGTGTTTAATAACAAATCATATTCCTCACTCACTCACTCACTCACTCACTCTTTTCTTTTTTTAAAAAAGATAATCATATATTGATACTAAAGAATAGATCATTACATCACATGCCATAACCAGGCTACAAAATCAAAAGAACGACTCGCTATCGGGTACAAAGAAAGGGCCTTCCGAGCCACCAAATGGGCTACCCTGTTACTACGCCGACCAACGAACTGGACACTAAACCCCGCATTCTCAGCTAGGTAGAGCAACACCTCACGGAAGATAGCTCCCGCTCTACTATCACTCCCCTGAGCCAAATTAAGCCTGTCAACAACCGCCTTCGCATCCCCCTCAAAACGAACAAGAAAAAGGCCTATGTTCCGACACCAAAGGATGGCTTCCCGGAGGGCCAGCAACTCCACCAACAACGGATCATCGACCTCCGAAAAGCACACACCCATCGCACCAACAACCACCCCATTTGGGCCCATCATCACTATCCCTCCGCCCGAGTGGGACCCTAGCCTAACTGCTCCATCCCACTTACAAATGAGGGAGTCCTGGCTAGCAGGGGACTCTAAAGGAATTCCCCTCACAGGGGCACACCCCACCACATCCCTTGGCAGCAAAGCCCACTCCCGCAGCTGTTGGTGATACTGACGCATGAGGACCGATATCCCAAACTGTTTGCCTATCTGTTCTTTTTTGGCCTACTGCTCGTGGGTCTTTGTCTTGTACTCTTCGTTGCTTTCATTTAATAAAATCCATCATCATTATAAAAAAAAACTGTTTGCCTTCAAAGACAACCCAATTCCGAAACTTCTCCTCTTTCTTATTCCTCGCTCACTCTAACTTACCTAATTTATACAATTATACTTCAAATCTCATAGAGATCCATGGAAACCAATATTTAGACCTTGTCACCTTGGTGACCAATTGGTCACTAGTCCCTAAGTTCAGTGACCATACCTGTAAATTCGCCCGCAGGGAGAGCCCGCCTTGGATCAAACTCTCTCCGTCTCTCGTGTCTCGTCTCGTCTCGTCTCGTCATCGCGAGTTAATCCAAAGATTTTAAAACAAAAAGAAAAAGAAAGGTCTTTGCTTGAAAATCAGTTGCCGGCCGGCGTAATCCCCAAATCACCGGCCAAAATTCCAATTTGGGAGAGAAGCGCGATGAAGGGACTAACCCTTTCCCCAGCAAACCATTGTTTTCCCAATCTCCCTGGCAAAATCCCAACAACAGACCCACAACCACTACAGAAATGCTACCCGATTCAATCCATCACCAAACATCGTCGACAATCCCTCATTCTCCCTTCCATCGCCGTCAAATCCTCCCAAAACCCTCATCAATTCCCGCCGATCCAGCAGCACGATTCGCCGCCTCTGGTCGTGGTGGGCTCCGCTAACGCCGACATATACGTCGAAATCGACAGGCTGCCAAAGGAAGGAGAGACCATCTCGGCCAGCAACGGCCAGACGCTCGCCGGCGGGAAGGGCGCCAACCAGGCTGCCTGCGGCGGCAAGCTTTCTTACCCGACTTACTTTGTGGGTCAGGTCGGAGAGGACGCTCACGGGAATTTGATCGCTGAAGCTCTCAGAAATGGCGGGGTGCGCCTCGATCATTTGAGGAACGTTGGTGATGGTGTGCCGACTGGGCATGCCGTCGTGATGCTGCAGTCGGGTGGGCAGAACTCCATTATCATTGTTGGTGGAGCTAACATGAGCTGCTGGCCTGAGAAGCTGGGGGACCAGGATTTGGAGATTGTGAAGAATGCTGGGATTGTTTTGCTCCAGAGAGAGATTCCTGATTCCGTGAACATCCAAGTTGCCCAGGTTAGTCCTTTGGAATCGACGGATATTGTTTTCTTCTTTGGAATTATTAGCTAGCTCTACATGTTGGTGCAAAATACCAATTTGGTTAACGAAACTCGCTCTAGAATTATATAGCGAGACAATAAAAGCACCAAACTTGCCTAATGAACCCCATTAGCATTCTCCATATTCTCCATCAATGCACAATGTGATACATATGAGCGAGAGTTCGATGACCAGGTTGGTATCTAACAGGGACATGTTGATAGACAGTATGATTCTGGAGTTCCGATGGATATAGAAGGACTAAGCATAAATGAAGAAATTACATTGAGAGTATTAACAAGCATCAGTCTTTTGTTTAGCTTCAGGGTTTTGTTGGCAGTCTATGGCACTGTAATCCTGGTTTGGGACTTCTCATACCATCATCAATCTCTGATAACTGAATGAGCAGAAATGTTTTGATAAATTATTTCATTTCTGCTCTGGTTTTGTGATGGTTCCTGTCTTGCTACATGCAGAAAATTTACTCAGATGGCCTTTCTTTCAACACTGTAATTAATACTTCCTTGTATTGATTCCTTAGGCAGCAAACGATGCTGGCGTTTCCATAATTTTGGATGCTGGTGGAATGGATACGCCTATACCAGCTGAACTGCTCAAATCCGTGGACATCTTTAGCCCGAATGAAACTGAGCTTGCCCGAATCACTGGGATGCCAACTGAAAGCTTTGAGCAAATTGAAGAGGCTGTCAAGAAGTGCCACAATATGGTCAGTCTTACATTTCTGGACAGCTTATCGATATTTAACGTCTGATCATCATTTTCCTGTGCATATCCAAGTTCTCTATTGTGTATACCTGTGCATTTCATTTGGTAAGCTTGCTGTTATTTGTGCATAAGTTGGCAATGCTCTTGGAGACTACTGGTAAACTTCCTGATTGGAATACTTCTGGATACCATCAAATCCTGTCTAGAATAGTGACCCTCCTTACAACTTTCTTTTCAAGAGACTTGTGTGTTTGTCAATAATTAGTCATCGGATTGATGGTATAATGCCAAGATATAGTATTTGGGGCGACATGGTTTAATGTGGCGAGTATTTTCAGGGAGTAAAACAGGTCTTAATGAAGCTTGGTTCCGAAGGGTCGGCCTTATTTGTAGAAGGCGAAAAGCCGATTAAGCAGCCTATCATACCAGCAGCAAGAGTTCTGGACACTACAGGAGCTGGAGATACTTTTACTGCTTCCTTTGCAGTTGCACTTGTAGAAGGGAAGTCAAAAGAAAGATGTCTGAAATTTGCTGGTATGTTTTGACTTTAATCCCTATGATGGCTCTTGTCCTTCTATATACAAACCATCATCCTGTTGTAGTCATATTGACCGTATGAAAGATGTTTGTTCACTAACATGTTTCATTCCTGAAACTCCTGATAATCGGAATTGTTTTGCTTTTCATACAGCTGCAGCAGCTTCTCTTTGTGTTCAAGTCAAGGGAGCCATCCCCAGTATGCCTGATCGGGCGTCGGTTACCGATCTTCTTCAAACTGCCCAAGTTTCTTGAAGGAGAGGTAAAGACTATAGATGTTTTCTAGCTTCAGAAAGGCTAGAAAAGAAATTTTCAGTAGTCTCAAAGGCAAGAGGATAGAAATTTGTTCCATTCAAGATCTGTGAGTGACGGACTGTAGCATTAAGGAAGCTATATGCTTCTTCTCTGTCTCATCAGTCATCAGTGTATGAATAGAGCTTAGAGACAACACTTCATCTATATAACTCACTTACAGCTGCATTTACACATACTCATCAATCAAAATGACATAATCATCACGATGTTCCATCTCTGTCTTAAGGCTCCAACCTTTCTTGAGCAGAAGCTTCATTTTTCCATGGGCTTTAGTTTTAGTGCCGCGCTGCAAAAGATCATGCCCAATGTTTCAGGAAACCGAATCTACAGAGCTAAAGGGGGGGAACCGACGTTCTGCATTTAGATTTTACATACCTGTTTATGCAGTAGCGTTGGCCAGTTGGTGGCGGACCATCACCAAACACATGCCCTAGATGAGCATCACAGACGGCACACAGGACTTCCGTCCTGGGCATGAAAATCATCGACAAGTCCAGCTTCGACTTCACGTTGTTCCCAATTGGCTGGTAGTAAGATGGCCACCCAGTTCCACTGTCGAACTTGGTCGATGATCTGCACATAGAGATCTCGTTGTCGTTTGTTAGCATATGCATTTGCATTCTCGAGAGATCTCGAAGCTTGTTCAGACACTTACTCGAACAGCGGCGTGTCGCAGCATATGCAGTGGTATGTTCCTGGGGTTTTGGTGTTGTAGTATTCCCTGACAGTTCACAAACAACAAAAGCAGCGTTATGCAGATTTCCAAATCACCAATAGACGTGAATGGAATTAGAAAGTGTTTTCAGCGATAGATTACCCGGTGAAAGCCCTCGGTTCCCTTCTGACGAGTCACGTAGAACTGTTCCGGCGTAAGCTTCTTCTTCCATTCTTCATCACTCGACGGAACCGCCTTCTGCGTATCTACAAGAGGCCGACGCCAATCGGTAAAACCCAAATCATACGCCGAAAAAGAGTTACCACAAGGACCCCCCCAGCAAATGAGCAGAACATATATTTAGAGAGAGAGAGACCTTGAACGTCTTCTGGTTTTGGGGAAGAAGCAGAGGAACCCATGGCGCGAACAGGCGAATCAGAAGCTACCGATCGTCGGCCAGGGAATCGGCAGCGACGGCTACTATCCTTCAGAGACACGGAAGAGTTGAAGCTGAATCGGAGTATCGACGAATGCAGCCTTACTCTTGTTGATGCTGCAGCTGCCGATAACTGTATCGTCGTGCTATAACCCAGAGCAGCCATGGACTTCATTTCGTTTTTGGCGCAAAACCACGATACTACCAGTGGTCTCTAGAGCACCGGATTAACTTTCGACCTTTTGACCACGTTGCGCTAGAAAGATCGCGAAGAAGGATATGGACGAGAGGTTCATGCAACGACACGTGAAAGTTCCGGCACGATGGATGGTGCTAATTGCTATACGCAACTACAAGGAAAAATTCTCTCTGTCACCTCTAAACCATAACAACTAAAACCAAATTTTTCTTTTTCCACATATTTTCTAACTGTCATTTTAGATTTACTCACGTAATACTATACTTATTCACGTACCGTATAAGTTGTTCATATAAATAAAAATTCAGATTTTTTTCCTTTAATAATTTGTATTGGCTATATTTAATAGAATTAAATTTGAATTCTCAATCAATCAAAAATATGTTGCATTTATCACAATCTACACAATAACACGTGAATGAATAATAATATGCGTAAATAAACACCAGGTTGCGTGACCTTAACAGTATTAGTTATATGAAAAATCAACGGTCTCACGTGAATAACACAAACGAGACGTGAATAAGCTAAAATTTACATATAAGTGAAATAAGTGTTTTGTCTCTAAAGATGTAAAGAGACTTGATTCCAACTACAAATTTGATTTGATTATTCAGCAAAGATTGCAAAATGCTACCAAGGTAGTAGCGAATAAGGGGTTAAAGACACATTTGGTCATTGAGATTACAAAATCGGGACATGTTTAGTCACTAGAAAAATTTAATATCAAATTTGGTCACTACAATTACTAAAACTGGACGCATTTAGTCACTCGCCGTTAGTCTCCGTCCAACTCCGTTAATGAAGTCCGTTAAGTGCTGATGTGGCAAACAGAATTGCCTAATCAGCCGGATATTAACCCAACAAAAATAAAACCCGACCCGCCACGTCATTATAACCCGCCACCTCATTAAAACCAACCCAACCCAACCCATCACCCAACCCTACCCAACCCTTCTTCCTCCTTCCTCCCCAACCCAATTTAGGGTTTTCCATTCCCAGATTGAGTGAATTTGGGCTGTGGAACGGCATTCCACGGCTCCAGCTCACCGGCCCAAACCCTCCACCTCTGCGTCGGCACCCGCTGCCTGATCTTCCAGCTCTACCGCGCCGATAGGGTTCCGCTCTCCCTGCGAAAATTCCTCTACCACACCGGCAACACCTTCGTTGGGCTGTGGAACGGCTCCGACCAGCGGAAGCTGTACGAGTCGGAGCACGTGGTTGGCATCCACGATCTCCTGGATCTGAGGAAGTACGCGGAGGCCGACGACGGGAGGAGCCTGAGAGGGGCGTCGGCGGAGGAAATTGTGAGGAAGGTGCTGGGTTACGAAGGGGTGAGATTGGAGAAGGAAATTAGCCTGAGCGATTGGGGGAGAAGGGATCTTGAGCGCGATCAGGTTATGCAAGCTTGTGTTGTGTTGATGCTTACGTTTCGTTTCGGATTGGGAGAGATCTGCGAGCTTGGGAGCTCTGAATTGAAGATGGAAACGAATTGGAGGTGAAGGTAAGTCGGATTTTGAATCGACTTGCGTTTTTGGGGATGGTTGATTAGGGTTTTAATCGATCAGGCTTTGTTGTTGTTTTGAAGCTTCACTCAATCTGGGAATGGAAAACCCTAAATTGGGTTGGGGAGGAAGGAGGAAGAAGGGTTGGGTAGGGTTGGGTGATGGGTTGGGTTGGGTTGGGTTGGTTTTAATGAGGTGGCGGGTTATAATGACGTGGCGGGTCGGGTTTTATTTTTGTTGGGTTAATATCCGGCTGATTAAGCAATTCTGTTTGCCACATCAGCACTTAACGGACTTTATTAACGGAGTTGGACGGAGACTAACGGCGAGTGACTAAATGCGTCCAGTTTTAGTAATTGTAGTGACCAAATTTGATATTAAATTTTTCTAGTGACTAAACATGTCCCGATTTTGTAATCTCAGTGACCAAATGTGTCTTTAACCCAGCGAATAAGCTAATGATATAGTTAAATCGTGATTTACTTATAATTAAATATTTTATTTAGAAAATTCTATACATTCTTGAATTTCAGTAGCTCGTTTTTTTTTATAATTAAGCTCGTTTTTTTCCCCATAGATCATCAGTAGCTCGTTTTTTTTGGTAGTACGATTTAACAAACACAATTGTCTAGTCAAATCTCACCAAAAGTTAGTTCCACACTCTTCTAGGACTGAGAATAGTTACAATTAGTCAACATTTCATTCGAGACATTTCCGGAACAAAATCTTGGAGGAATATATATTTTGGAATAATAATAACGCTATGGCGTACTTTGTCCCGTGGCCCTCTGCCTATAAAAACGGGAAACCCCACCGCTACCCTACGCCGCGCCATCTGTACTAGTGATCAAATCAAATCCTTCGTATAAACCAAAAGCAAACAGACCCGAGAGAGCTCCAAACTCAGAGCACCGGTGGAGAGCATCAATGGCCAACGAGTTGATTCTGCTGGACACATGGGTGAGCCCGTTCGGGATGCGGGTCAGGATCGCTCTACGCGAGAAGGGGATCAAGTTCGAGTACAAGGAAGAAGATTTGACGAACAAGAGCGATCTGCTGCTGAAGATGAACCCGATTCACAAGAAGATCCCGGTTCTCATTCACAACGGGAAGCCCGTCCGCGAGTCTGGCATCATCGTTCAGTACGTGGATGAGGTTTGGCACGACAAGGCTCCATTGCTGCCTTCTGAACCTTACCCCAGAGCTCAGGCTAGGTTCTGGGCTGATTTTGTCGATAAGAAGGTTCGACTTCTTTCTTTATTTACGTTTTGATGTCTCTTTGTATTGGTTTGTTTTCCTTGCTGTAGGGTGATTCTTACTGAGGTTATGATTGAGGGTTTGCGTGTTTGTTTATGACTGTTCAAAGGTAAAGGTTGGAGCTTGAATTCAGGGAGATGAAGGTAGTTGTAGGAAGATATGAGCTTGGATATCAGAGTTTAGTGATCAATGAAAGTTGCAAGTAGACATAATTTGGGGATTTGGGGTTCAAATGAGCAAATTTGATAAGAGAAATGACCTACTACTCAGTGACTAACATGTCCCTTTAAGTTGTTCTTGCTAGGTTGCTTGTGTGACATCCTTTGATATTAATGATTATTTGTTAGGACGAGTTGGATAGTTTAGTTTGATCAATTGGTATTTAACCTGATGATTTGCTCTTTTGTCTTAGCAAAGTAACTTTTCAAACTCGAAAACACCACCAAGCTTTTGGAAAGAGGTCTTTCTTTTCTGTTGTACAGGAGGCGTTGTTGCGGTTCAAGCTCAAACGTGGTCTGGAGTTGGAAAACTAGAGTTGTCTTCTAATAGGATAAGGATATAGTTTTGTCGGATTACTGGAACTTTGAATTCAGCAATCAAACAAGAACAGAATAACCAAAACATGCTTGTCTTAATTGTTTAATCTGCAGATCTACGATACAGGGAGGAAGATCTGGACAACAAAAGGGGACGAGCAGAAGTCAGCCACAGAGGAGTTCATAGGGTACCTGAAAACACTGGAAGCAGAGCTGGGAGACAAGCCGTATTTCGGAGGGGAGAAGCTTGGCTATGTGGATGTGACAATGATACCATTCTACTCATGGTTCCATGCCTATGAAGTCAGTGGCAACTTCAGCATTGAATCAAACTGCCCCAAGCTGATGGCATGGGCCAAGAGGTGCATGCAGCACGAGAGCGTGTCGAAAACCCTTCCAGACCCCAAGAAAGTCTATGAGTTCATCCTGCAGCTGAAGAAGAGGCTTGGAATTGAGTAGCTGAAGAGTCTTTTGTTAGATTCTTGTCCTAGGGTTTGTCTAATTCCGTATGGAGCTACTTAGGTCTGTGTTCTTAAGTTGAGTGTTTGTGAGTTGAGGCAAATAAAGGAAGGCACCTTGATGTGGTGTGCCTCTAGACTAGGAGTGGGCACTTAAATGTGCCTTACTGTGGTTGAGTAATATTATGTGTGATGCTTCAGTGTAGTTGTTTGTTTCTCTTTGGTGAAAATAAACCTGCTAGAAGGTTTGGAATCTGAATCCATTACGGGAGCACCGTTTCACCACGAGGGCGAGACTTGTTCACCAATCTGACTGTTGGCAAGCAATCACAGCATGACAATTGCGACTGCCATTTTTCTTCTATAGGAATTTGAGGAGGTTTGACTTTGAACCAGAGCTAGGTACAATGTATGAAGTGGATGCGACATGTCGTTATCTACAGCATATTGATTACTTTAAACGAGAATCTTCGCCTCAATCTCTATGTCGATATAACTATGTGAAGTTACACCGAACTCTGTGTTTATCACACACTCCACCGGGCAGCGACTGAACAGAGCTACACGGAACAAGCCAAGCCCGAAGGAGGGAGCTCCACAACAGAGAGCATCAATGGCGGAGGAGGTGATTCTGCTGGACTCATGGGTGAGCCCGTTCGGGATGCGGGCCAGGATCGCTCTAGCCGAAAAGGGAATCAAGCACGAGCACAGGGAAGAAGATTTGGGGAACAAGAGCGATCTGCTGTTGAAGATGAACTCGATTCACAAGACGATCCCGGTTCTGATTCACAACGGGAAGCCCGTCTGCGAGTCTAACAACATCGTTCAGTACCTGGACGAAGTTTGGCACGATAAGTCCCCATTGTTGCCCTCTGATCCTTACCTCAAGGGTCAAGCTAGGTTCTGGGCTGATTTCGTCGATAGGAAGGTTCGTTCATCCGTTTTTGTTTGCTCTGTCTCCCTTTCGATTCGGTATCCTTGTAGGATAAGTCTTTCTGGGTTTATGGGTTGAGGGTTTGTTTGTGGATTGTTCAAAGGTAAAGGTTGGAACTTGAAGTTAAAGAGCTGGAGATGAATGTTTTATCTGATTAGAACTCTGAACGCAAGTAATCAATGAAAAAGAGAACAACCATCAATACCTACTCTCACCTCACCTCTGCCAACTTTTTGAACAATTTGCAGGTCTTCGATGCAGGGCGGAAGGTATGGGTGACGAAAGGGGAAGAGCAGAAATCCTTGATGGAGGAGTTCATAGGGCACCTGAAGACACTGGAAGCTGAGCTTGGCGACGAGCCCTACTTCGGAGGAGAGAAGATGGGCTATGTGGATGTGACAATGGTGCCAATCTACTCATGGTTCCATGCCTATGAAGTGAGTGGCAACTTCAGCTTTGAATCCCACTGCCCCAAGCTGGTGGCATGGGCCAAGAGGTGCATGCAGCACGACAGCGTGTCGAAAGCTCTACCCGACCCCGAGAAGGTCTACGAGTACGTTCTGCAGCTCAGAAAGAGGCTTGGGATTGAGTAGTAACTGAAGAAGACTCTTAGAAGTCTGTTTTGGTCTGTAGGGAGCTTGTTAGTCTGTGTTCATGAGTTGAGCCAATTGCTACGCTTTTTGCTCTGATTGGTCTGTTACTGTTTCATTTGATGTCGTTTAGTGACCATATGTGAAAGGGTTGTAAAACATCCTTCCCCACGTAGACCATCCAAAGTCCAAACACAGTCAGAACTCAGAACTCTTTCTTTCCTCACTCCGTCGGAGCAGATCTGCAACTGCCCCAGCCCCAGCCCCAGCCCCCTGCTATCCTTTGATTTCCGGAAATTCAGGCCGCGTTTGTCTCTGTCACACGGCGCCGCTGCCGAACTCTTCCAAACACGCCAATGGTCATGATTCGTAGGAGAGATCGGCAGACCATGCTTTCCGTACGCTGCTCCTCTCCACGACCGCACCACAAAAATTGGAATTGCACGCCACTGGTCGATTCATGTCCTTCGTTTCACTATTCGGGTATGCTTTCTTGGAAATCGGAGCCATGTTGTTGCTTCACCACGCCACCTTCTTTCTACTTCTGTTGTTCTGCAGACTGCAGTGCTGACTTCTCTCCACCAGTTTCCTTACATCGTACTTGGTGAGAGACAAGTGTTTTCCTCTCTTACCCCTCAATAATCCCTTCTTTTCTCTTGCAACGCAAAGCCTGAAATTTTCTCCCGTTGTCGGCTACCGTGGCACCCAAGAGACGAGGAAGACCAGATCGAATTTGGAACAGCAAGAACACGTTGAGAATGAAGGCGATGAGAAGGAAATGGGCTTGGTAGACTTATCATCTCCGTTGCCTTCCGTCTTCAGAGGCCACAGATTCAGGGGAGTCGATGGACTTATCATCTCCAGCAGCCAGCCAAAAGAATCATTCGCCAGGCAGGGTGCCATCGGGGAGTATTTTTTTCCCTTGGAAGCGATTCCCCACCTCATTCCCCCTCTCTTTGTTTTGTTGATGGAAGAAGCAGCAGCAAATGAAGATGAAAAAGAAGAACACAGAGGAATTGAAGGAAAAGAAGACACTCCGACCATATTTCCCGTGGGTCACGCTTCAGTGAGTGAGTTTTCGTTCTCCCCTCTCCTTTGACTTCTACAACTGCGGAAACCTTTTGTTCTATCTATGTACTTTTGCTCGAGATGTATTTCAAGTTGTTCTTCTTCCATTATGTACTTTTATTTGACCAGTTCATTGCTACGTGTTGGTCATTGAGATGTTTGAATATGCAATTTGGAATCGTGGTTAGGTTGTAATCTGAATTCTGGTGTTGCTCGGTTGGAATTAGAGAGTTAATGTGGATTGATATGGTGTGGCTATTGGATAGTGTGTAACACTGTGACGTGTGGTTCTTTTTACGATCTTGAATTGGTAGGAGAGAGCTGTTGCTTAACGATAATGATGCTGTCAAGGCTAACTGCATAGGATTAGTTAATCAGTTCCCTGATCTGTCTTTTTTGCTTTGCAGTTGGTTATCTTTTTAAATCGCAGGTTGCTTGAGGAAAGAATAGGGTCAAGGTTACTAGGAAGAAGGATGGACCAATCTGTAATCTTCCCACCAATTTGTAACAACCCATTAACAATGATGAACTACAAGGAAGAACAAACATCCCTCAAACATGGAGGAGTCATGGCTGAATTCAAAGGTTCAAGATTTGATGCCCGAAATTTTTCTCTAAAGCTCAAAGAAGTGGTAAGATTTCCCCCCTTCATCTATATACATAAACCATATATGTCCTAAAGGACCTAAACCCAACTAAAAGAAGATGTTTCATTTTTTCTTTCTTCTACACAGGTCTGACTAATGGAAGAAAGGACAAGAACATAAAAAATCCAAGAGTATATGCATGTGGCATCAGGCAACATACCAAAGCAGCTCCATTGCCTAGCCTCGAGGTCGACGAATGAGCACTCCACGAATACAGTGCCAGGCTTCAACTCTTCCTTGATACTTCTTTGATAGCTCCTAACGAACTACTTCGTTTTTACTATCTCTTTTTGCAATTCTGAGTAGGCTACGCTTTCACAACAAGGACATTGCTGAGTGTTGCCAAAAACGTAGCGCCATAAAATGAAGTCGCTGTATCCAGAGTTGTCGCAACCCGTAGAAACAATAAGATGGAGAAGCTAATCTGACTGCTTTGGCCTTCCTCTGCATATTTCTCTACTTCTCCAAATTCGGTAAGCGTTCAAGGTCACAGTTTGCCTTCAATCAAGTTCAAAGGGTTCCTCTACAATATCTAGATGTTTGCGTTTACTTTTACATTCAATTTCGTGTAATAATTTGTGATATTGGGTTATAAGAAGATCTGTAATATTGGTTATAGGATACAAGGAACCTTTACTCTTCATCCAGAACTCAATGTGGGAATTCTGCTTCTCAATTTCTTCCTTAGTTTCAAAATTTTGATGTATCTTATGATTCTTATCAATTAATTTGGTCTGGCAGCTTCTGTATAAACAATAGATTCAAAGTCTTCTACACCACTAAGCAACAAGATAAACCAAATGTTCCCTTTGATTTTTTTTATGAGGTGGGAGTGATTAATCAATGGATGAGTAGAATTAGTCAGTTACAGTTTAAAATTCTCAGGATGTGTTTGGTTCATGATGGAGGAGTTGGCCCTTCTACAAAGACCAGTAACAAATCATCTGGTTTCTGAGTAACTTCCGCCCGTTGCTTTCGGACAAACAGAAATCCAGCTGCATAATGCAATATCTGACCACAAGAGAAGGTAAAAAATCTTGCTGCTTAGAGTTCCATTTTCCTAGAGGCAAGAGCAAAGCTGAAATAAGCATATTACAAAAGTGATTTTTACATAATTGTTTGTTTGACATGGCATTTTTACACAAGTAACTTTACCGTTACCAATCCTGGACTATTTTTAATGTGTACTTGGATTGAGAACCTCTTCTACGCTATAGTAATTAGCTCCGACACTTATTTCGCTGCTACTTCTGAATCAATGAGGTTCTATTTGTTTGTACTCGGATTGAAGCCTTATATGTGAAAATTTTACCAAAAGATGCAACACAAGATTGGTTGAAGATCCTTTTTGACACTCATGGACAAATCACTGAGATGGTTTCCAAGCACCAACCAAATTGGGACATGAGAACAATACAATTTGTTTTGTCCATTCTGCACAGTCTGAGTTTCTGCCGTCTCTCGATATTTTCTTTCAATAATGTTTCATCCATTAGCTGGTTGAGCTGTCACTATTAGTCTAATTGTTATACTAGATCCTGAATTAGCTTCCTGTATAATACATGGTTCCAGTTAACCTAAATAACATATTTCAGTATTATAATTATTTATGTATGGAGAAACCATTCCTGATTTTTATTCCCATGATGATGGTTTGTACGTTATGCAGCCAATGTATTGTGACGGTGCACCACCTCCTTCACATTTGACAACGAATAGTAGGAGTAGCAAGTCAGCAACAACAGCAAGGGGACAAATTTGGTGGTGACATTTTCAGATGGAGAGGAACATTACGAGTTAATGCGATTATGCAAGCCAATGGGGTTAGCTGGAAGGTGAAGATTGCTTATGGAATGACAACCAAAGAATGAAAAGGTGAAGAATCCAAGGTTGAATTAGGAGATTGTAAAACTCGAATTTTATGTTGCTGCAAATTTGTTGCCTCCTAAGCTTCCCACGAAATTATTATTCTGCTACAACTTTAGTTCACGCGGCGTAGCCGCGGGTATTGATCCTAGTAAAGGTAATTAAGGAAGTCACATTGATGTTGTGTCTTTAGGAGGGGCACTTAAACGTGGCAGTCATGAATCTACCGCGTTGAGTGGTGTGGTGTGGTAGTGTTGTAATGTTATAAAAAAAAAACCATTGCGCAGTGTTCTTGAAGAGACTACAGTATGCAGAACACTCCAGCTGAATGATCCTGGATATTAGGTCCTTCTTAATGTATTTCATCCCTCTGATTTGGGGTAGGACCGTAGGATACTATGTCTACCCTTAAAAGGGTTGGTTTTTTGACACTCCTTCTCAATTGGTCAATTTTTTCATTAATTATTGACAAGTATTAATGAAAGTAAACATAATAAATGTTCTGTTATTAAATACAAAGTAAGTATTAAAGACACCACATTAATTACTTGTTTTTAAAAAAATCTAAACATACACATAATACAATTCTCTCTCATCTTTGATCTTTCTCACTACTATCTCTGATTTTTCCTTTTCCAACAGCCTCCGACCACCACACTTCGCCGGTAAAATCCCGCCGATAGACTCTCTCCAGTCACCTGCGAAAATATACCACTACACTAATATGTTGTACCACTGTACTGGTATTTGTATCACTACACTAATACTCAGATATGACATTGATACCAGTGCAGTGGTACAGCTACCAGTGCAGTAGTATATTTTTTGCAGGTGGTCGGAGGGAGTCTGCCGATGGGTTTTCATCGGAGAAGTGTGGCGGTTGGAGGAAGTCTGGTGGTCGGAGGCTGCTGAAAAAGGAAAAATCATATAGAGAGAGAATGTATTTAGTGTAGGTTTTAATTTCAAAAGAAAAAACAAATAATTGATATGGTGCATTTAATTCCTAATGTGTTAGCATGCTAACCGACCTCTCTGATTTCTAGAATGCATGATTTCTAAAAATGCACCATTTTGTATAATTTTGTTTTAAATGTTTTGTATTGCATACTCTACATAATGTTATGAATATATGATATGATATAGTTGCTCTCATTTTTTAAATATAGATAAAATAATAATAAATTTTGAAATATGAAGTCATTTGTATGGCTTTAGCTCTTTCCAATTTTCACAATCCAAACCTCAAGAGTTTTTAGATTTTTATCCACTCATTTAATTCCGGCTCCATGTTTAATGAAATCTAAAAGAGAAGAGAAAGAGAAGCCAACCTTGTTTTCCCTGTTTAGGTACTAAACTTTGCTTTTTCTTTGTTAAAATAAACATTGATATTCATTTTTTTTTTGTAGAAAAATGGGACGCTAAAAGGGCGCCCCTGCCTGAAACTTAGATTAACCGAGATTGGGCAATGCCCATAGAGTCATACGAAAGCCAAAAATTGAGACCTGGGTCATCCCTCTCAATAACATGATAACCAATACTAAGAGAATGCCCTTTATTAGCGAGGTAATCGGCTGCCTTATTGCCTTCGCGGAAAGTGTGAGAGATCTCAATCTCCCAATCTTTTTGGAACAGTTGCTGCACTTGGGTCCAAAGACTATGGTACCGACCTTCGTACGTCGTATGGGAAGTCAAGATGGACATAACCGTCGTGGAATCAGTCCGCACCTGAACTTTGCGATAGCCCAGCCGCCAAGCAAGTTTGAGCCCTTGGAGAACCCCCAGCAACTCGGCCCTCGTGATAGTGCAAGCTCCTAGGTTGGACGCAAATGCCCCCAGACATCTACCAGAGTTATCCCGAAGGAGGCCCCCCGCTGCTGCCAAAGAGTCAGGTTGCTTAACTGAACCATCTGTGTTAATCGCTATCCAGTCTGGAGGTGGCGGTTTCCAGGCAATCTCAGTCGACGTCTTCGCACGCTGTGTCGTGTGGATCTTTCCATTGTTATCTTGGGCGTTGCGAACAGTGCTGGTCCAGCTCCTAATTCTCTGGACAAGAGTCGAGGGATCTTGCTGCTTACGATCGAAAACCCATTCGTTTCTTCTTTTCCAGAGGTACCAGGCGCCGACTCCGAAGAGCAGTCCGGTTTGCGCATTCTTCAGGTGCTCCGCCATCCAATCTGCAAGGTTGAGGCCGATAGTCAGGTTGTTATCCGAGATCCCAAGATCATGCCATACCTGTGTAGCATAAGCACATTGACGGAGGACATGCTCAGTCGATTCCGGGGCTGAATTGCAAGTATCACAGGAATCCTGATGACAGAATTTCCTTCTCTTCCTCTCGCAATTCGTCAATAGGCGGTTATGAAAAGCAAGCCACAGGAAATGCCTTATGCGATGGGGGCCATCCCATTTCCAGATTTGTTTCCATTTGGGCCTAGCTTGGACTTGATCAGGAACATTATCCTCCTTGCCGAGCCAGTCTGCTGCCACGGTGTAGGCTGACTTTATCCTAAATTTCCCGTCGGCCTCCATCCCCCATGTCGTCAGGTCTTCTCCAGCGTCCCTTCTGGGCGGGTCGATACCTGCGATAAGTAAAACAGTAGAGTTAGGTAGGGGGTTTTGGAAACTTGGCCACTTCCACTCACCTGAGTCGTCAGCCATGTCAGCAACTGAGATGTCCCAGTCCATGCTGGGGTCTTGATCCATCACATAATCCTTCAGGACCACACCATCCGCCACCCACGAGTCTAGCCAAAACTTCACGCTTTCACCATCCCGGATGTCCCAAATGGTCCCCTGTTTCACGAGAGGGAAAGCCTCCAACATTCCTTTCCACAATCTCGAGACTCTCTGGTGCCTCATCGAGATAGTACCATCACTGTTAGTCTTGATGTACTTGTCCTGCAAGATTCTAATCCACAGGGTATTATTATCAGTAATAAAATTCCAGCAGAGCTTCATAATATAGGCCAGATTAAGAGCGCGGGCTGAACGAAGGCCTAAGCCACCCTCCTCTTTCGGCTTACAGACAGTCTCCCAAGTCACTAGGTGGATTTTAGTGCGCCCTTCCTCTGCACCCCACACGAAGTTCCGGATCTTTTTATCAATCACATCGCATATGTGGCAGGGAAGAACCGCTGTTTGCATCACGTAGTTCGGGAGCGCATTCAGGACTGACAGGGCTAAAGTAACCCTTCCTGCGAGCGAGAGACTCCGAATTTTCCATCCTGAGAGCCTCTTATCCAAGTTTTCCAGAATATATTTGTAAGTGTCCTTGGTAACACGCCCGTGCACAACTGGGACACCCAAATATCTCCCAAGGTTGCTAGTCTGCTTAATTCCTAATAGCCTGCTGATTCTTCTCTTGGTATGCTCCTTGGTATTCTTAGAAAAGTAAACACACGATTTGTCTTTACTGACTTCTTCCCCCGAAGCAGCACAAAACCTGTCAAGGCAATCAATGATGGCTTTCCCCTGCTTTATATCGGCCTCGGCGAAGAGAACTAGATCGTCTGCAAAAAAGAGATGGGTGAGGGCCGGTCCCTGTTGAGATAGATAAATAGGATTCCAGAGACCATTATCAACCGACTCTTTGATACAGTGATTTAGACGCTCAATGCAAAGAGTAAAGAGATATGGAGAAAGGGGACATCCCTGTCTGATTCCGCGAGAAAGCTTGAAAGAATCCGTACAGCTCCCATTCCAGAGAACCTGAAAGCTTGAAGTGGTTACACAGCCCATGATCAGATTTATGAAATCCATCGGGAGACTGGCAGCTACAAGAGTGGATTGCAAGAAACCCCAGTTGATCCTGTCATAGGCTTTGGCTAAATCGATCTTCAGGATCATACTGCCCCGCACACCCTTCATCTGGTTGAGAGAGTGAACCACTTCCTGGAGAATAACAATGTTGTCTGTGATGTGTCTCCGAGGAACGAAGCTGGTCTGATTTTCGTCAACCAATCGAGGCATAAGACTCTTCAGGCGATCAGCCAGGCATTTTGCCACGACCTTATAGCTGACATTGCAGAGCCCGATAGGACGAAATTGCCCCATCGACCTTGGAGAGTCACACTTCGGCAGCAAGGTCAAGAGGGTTGTGTTGCAGCGGGCGATGTGGTCTGGCTCCCTAAAGCAGCGAGCAAGGTGTTGATAGAAGTCTTCTCCTATAGACGACCAGCAGTTCTGATAGAAAATCGCATGGAAGCCGTCCTTGCCCGGTGCTTTGAGTCCACCCATTGCCCTGATGATTCCTCGGGTTTCATCAAGAGTAGGAACAACTGCTAGGTTGCGGACAAGAACCTCTTCAAGAGCTGGAAAGTTGGCAGCAACTTGCGGTCGGATGGCAGTGTCTTCAGTGAAGAGGTGAATGTAGAAATTCATGGCCATCTCTTCCAAAGCTTGGGCATCCTCGATCCAGGCACCATTACCATCCTGAAGCTTGGTAACCTTGTTTCTCTGCCGCCTAGTGAGAGCCACAGTATGGAAATAAGTATTATTCTTGTCCCCGTGAGTGATCGAGGTGGCCCTAGCCTTCTGCATCCAGAGGAGTTCTTCTTGCCAAAGCGTATTTTCCAGTTCCTCTCTGAGATTAGCTTCCTGTTGCAAAGAGAGGGGATCTGGGCTAATATCATTCCGTGCTTCAGTGTCAGCAAGGCATTTGGTCAGCTCCTCTTTCCTTCTGAAGATGTTGCCGAAAACCTCCCTGTTCCACTTAGAAAGAGTGTGTTGGAGCTCGTTAAGAGATTCAAGAAAATCTCCTCCCGCCTTCCACGATCTATCTACAGTAGGGTGGAAGTCCTGGTGGGTCAGCCAAGGAGCAAGAAAACGAAAAGGTCTCCTGTTTTTCTTGCTGCTGCTATCCCTGGCAGCCACGATCAGTAAGGGCCTGTGATCCGAGCGAAGCCGAGGAAGGTGGTGATTGACTGTGTCAGGGAACAGCTTCAGCCACTCCTCATTACACAGGGCACGATCCAATCTTTGGTGAAGGCTGCCCTTAACCCAAGTGAACTTTGGCCCTGAGAACTCAATGTCAATCAAACCACAATCATTTATGCATCTGTTGAAATGTTCTGCTCTAGCTGGGTTGTAGGCTGCACCGCCCTGCTTATCCGAAGGACACCTGATAGAGTTGAAATCACCGGCCAACAACCAGGGTACAGAAATAGATTGCTCCAGTTGCCGAATAGTGTCCCAAAGCGGGAGTCTGTCATGCTCGTTGGGCTTGGCGTAGATGGCGGTGAGCAGGGCCTCTTGATTTTCCTGCAAATTAACACAAAGAAAATGCAACATTTGAGCATTTCTATCCAAAACAGAGATATTGAGAACTGAGGAGTTCTAGAGAACCCATATGCCCCCAGAGAAACCCACAGCTTCAACCATCTCATGCTTATCAAACCCCATCTTCCGAATAACCTCCAGTGCTTCCTTGCCACTAATTCGCGGCTCAACAATGAAGACAAGATTCGGACGATGGATACGCATATAATCCTTAAAAACAGCGAGAAGTTTAGGGTTCTTAGCCCCCCGACAATCCCAAGTAAATAGACTAATCATTAAAAATAAATAAAAAAAGGGAGAGGCAGAGAATGCGCAGCAGCGCTAGAGTTTGTCAATTGGCAGCAGCCTGTCGGCATTAGCACAGGAAGTCGAGAGAGAGCTAGTCTCTGGGTCGATCATCGTGGCATCACTTTGGAGCTCACTCAGCGGCGACCGGATGTCCTCTGCCTTTCGTGAGGTGCTCATCATGAAATCCGCAATGGCTTGAGGATCAAGCGGGAGCCCTGATTTTTTCACAAATTCCTGCAGCTTATCCTTGGCCAAGCTAGAGGAGCAATTCACCAACTTCTTGGATGACTCCTTTTGGATTCCCATCTTAGCTTCCTTCCCTGGTGCTTGCGGTGACTTCTTCTTAGGATAATGGTCGCGAATTGAAACGCTCAACAGGTTGGGGTCAGAGTTCTCCTTGGTCGGTGTTGGAAAGGGGAGGGGAATCGGGATGGTTGGCTGCGCCTGGGGAAGGGCATCTGAGCTTGGGCCTGGATTAGGACTCGTGGTCGGCGTTGTTGGGCTGTTCCCAGCTAGTTGGCTAGGGGCCGATTTAGTAGTGTGGGCTTGGGCTGTTCCCGACGGGCCTTTACCACCAGCAATCCGCCACTCTTGAGATATAGCACCTGATTTACCGCTCGGTGGACCGTTGCCTTTCCCCTTCGAGGTACTAAGAATCCCCTTACTTTCCTCTGTTTTCTGTACATTATTTCCTTTTCCGTTCTTTCCAGACGCGGCTCTAATTTGATCCCCCTTCCCTGATTGAGGAGCTTTTCCAGTCGTCTTTCCCTGAATAGCACCTTGGTTTGGGTCGGTTCCCTGAACTGAAGCCGGTTTCTGCGCCACTTTCCTATTCTGTTTTTTACCTTTCCGGGTCACTTGCATCCAGGGGCCGTAACCGGCAGCTGGCTCCGGTGCCGGCTCCGATGCCGGCATCACCATCGGAACCGGGGTGTCAGCACTAGGCGTTGCTGTTGGGACAGTTGCCGACGCACACACCTTCTTCGGACAGCCATCCTCAGAATGCCCAATCCTGCCGCAGTCAAAACAGATTTCCGGCAAGTTCTCATAAAGGACCGGTTGCCAGAAACCATCCAGGCGGATACGAGTGGCCAGTGGCTTCGTCATGTCCAGCTCCACTGCAAGGCGGACGAATTTCCCCCTCTCCAGATTCTCCGTGTGGTAGTCAAGTTTGATAGTTCGGCCAATTAGGTTCCCCAGAGCGAAGAGAACCTCTCGGTGATAGAAGTGGACCGGAAGCTCAGTTAATTGATATTCATTTGATTGTAATCAACCAATCACATTGATGTTTATATTATATATTATTTTAAAAGTGAAAAGATCAGAGAGGAAGTAGTCTTTCCTATAATTAAATCATGGCCAACGAGGCAAATAACAATTTGAACTCTTTAAAATCATCTCGACGATATTATCTACGAAAACAAAAAAAAAGTGATAGGATAATATAAAAGGACAGATCTTGCACGTTGTACAATATATTTTGGGATTTTCTCACGTGTCCATCTGCCATTTGGTCACCAATCATTAACGGCTATTTTTACGATGGTCACTGAACTTTACACTATCAACGAATTGGTCACTAAATCTTTCATCTGTAATTGAATTTGTTATTAAAATTTTGAAATAACTACCATTTCAGATTTCACAACTCTTTTGTTTCGAATTATCTTTGAATTTTTTTTAATACAATGAGTACAAGAACCAAATTATATCGAAACATATCTAAAATACTCTTGCTTGGATTTGTGATCCTAAATGTTTTCTTGATTTTTCAATACTTATAACAATTCATTTTGATTCTAGATGGGGATGGGAGCATATCTGCCTCTATCCAAAGTTCAGTGACCATTGCGTAATAAGCCCCATTATTAACTCCAGCTGAAAAGGGAAAGGCATTCCCATTTTTGCTATAAATCCATACTCAGCAACTCCGCCTTGTCAAAAAAAAAAAACTCCGCCGCCGTCAAATCAAACTCCAAGGCCCAAAATTTGAGCAGAGTGAACAAATGGCGGAAGTGGTTCTTCTGGATTTCTGGGGTTCCCCATTTGGGATGAGGGCAAGAATAGCTCTGGCGGAGAAAGGCGTGAAGTATGAGTACAAGGAAGAGCATCTACTGACTGGGAAGAAGACGCCCCTGCTTCTGGAGACCAACCCAGTTCACAAGAAGATCCCAGTCCTCATCCACAACGGCAAACCCATCTCTGAATCCCTCGTCATTGTTCAGTACATCGAGGATGCTTGGAGCGACACAGCTCCGCTGCTGCCGGCCGATCCTTACGGCAGATCTCAGGCCAGGTTCTGGGCTGATTTTGTCGACAAGAAGGTATGCCCTTTTTTCCACCAGTCTGTTCTTTTACTCTGTTTTCACTAGTACGACAACATAGATTCAGGGAAGTTGATGGATTGCTGGAAATATGTGCACGTGGTGAACTAGGGTTTGGACCATTTTTTATTGGAGGGGGAAAGTAAAGGCAGTGATTTAGAGTATAGCTGTTTTGTGGTCCGCTCCTAGATCTATAGCTTTATCACTTCCTTTTGGTGATTGAAAAACAACGGGATTGTGCATAACCCATAAACTCATCATGGATGTTCATGTTGGGCAATAGGGACAGTCCACTCCGATTCATAGCCAACAAATGAAGTTAGATTAGGATTAAGAATAGGTTTTATAAGAGAGCTATTGGGACGAAATGTTTTCTCACAAGGTTGAAATAAACTGATTGTGTTACCAAAATCGTCCAATGAATCCAACCCCTGTCTCTCTCCGGTTTGAGTAGATCTTGGGTTCATGTCTGCATTTACACTCGACATGGAGGAGGTGAGGGCTGGATTGGAGAAAGGGGTTTGGGTCAAATGGTCGGTCACATTGGGCTGTTGGTGGGTCTATTGTGGTGACAAGGTGACCCTGTTGAGACTGACTAAACTCGGCGTAAAGGGTTGCTGACCAGTCGATCGGGGTGATACGAGGAGCCTATTGAGCATTTCGATTTGACAAAACTTAATTTATTTCCTTCCCATTTTCTGCTCAGCGATCATTTTGTTACGAACCTTGTGCCAGATATACGACCAGGGGAAGAAGATATGGGCGAACAAAGCAGGAGAAGTACAGGAAGCAGGCAAGAAGGAACTGATGGAGAGCTTGAAGCTACTGGAAGGAGAGCTAGGAGAGAAGCCATTCTTCGGAGGGGAAACCATCGGGTATGTGGATGTGGCTTTGGTGCCTTTCTACACATGGTTTTACTCCTTCGAAACAATCGGCAACTTCAGCATCGAGGCAGAGTGCCCCAAACTAATTGAATGGGTTAAGAGGTGCTTGGAGAGGGAGAGCGTCTCCAAATCCTTGGTTGACCCGGAGAAGGTCTACGTTGACCTCATCCTGGTGCTCAAGAAAATGTACGGTTACGAGTAGAAAAAAAAAATGTTCAGTGATTCTGTTTTTCACTTTCCCTTGTTGGGGGTGTTAAAAACAAATTTGCAATGTGATTTGCTTTCCGTTATGGCTAGAGGAACTTGGTGGGGAGAATAAGGTTCAACTGATGTATGGGAACTATTTGGCATCAATGATGATGGATGGTCTATCTAGTAAGGTTGATGTGATAAAGCGGTTTTGGGATTTGGCAGCTTAGGTCGGATTTGTACATGTTGTATTGAATATTACATACTAGCTTATACACGATCCTTTCAAGATGAATTAATGGTGACCGAAGTAAAAAAAAGAAGAATTAATGAAAAGTTGATAAATTGAATGAATTTTAGGGAAAATAAATCAAAACTCTTAATATGTTGTTAATAATCTCCTGCACTAATTTCTTGACTCTTAAATTGATGAAACACAACTAATTAACCTAAAAGCTAGTAGCCTAATCTGTCACTGCCACTCTTAACTAATCGTATAATTAAACCTCTCGCCCACTAATTACACACACTATGCATGCCCTAGCAACCCATAAAATATTGGTCATGTTTCTAACTAATAATCCACAATTAAATGCAAAAGAAAAACTAAATTAGACGTGCGCCAAACAAACATGTGTAAGATCTACAATTATATCCCGAAAGAAAGGAAAATTAAGAGAAATTTAAAGTCAACATTTCGTTGTTACAATAGATATCGATACCCCTAACCGATAGGTGTGACAATTGGGAGAAGAAAAAAAAAAAGGAAATCTAGTTCTCTGCAAAGCACAGGTAGTAGTGGGTTTGGGCCCAACAGCCCAACTTTCGTTTTGCTTGGATATTGGTTGACCGTGGGGTTGGGTCCTATCCCCATCCAACCAAGGGAAGGCCCAATTACGTGCCCACTTGCTAGCCATATAATATGTTAAGCTTATGTGTGGTACCCTACTTGGCAGCAGTTGTTTAAAAAAAGCACGCTTAACCTTATGCTTAGGCACGTCTAGACGCAAGGCAATGATAAAACGCTCCGCTTAGGAGTTTCACGTCTAGTTAGATACCGGAACACTTCAATGGAGTAAGACGATATCTAAGTCTCTCCTAAACATAACTAGATGGAGCTAGAAAGTCAATATTAAATGAGGAAATTAACGTCAACTACGAAATCAATTTCCTATATCAATATTTTCAATAATTTAAGAACTTTGTGAGCTATGATTTTATGAATTCATGAGCTATTCACTTGTCATCAAGTGTTGAGTAAGTTATTAATCATTTTAATTGTAGTGAGGAAATGTTGTAGATTATTATTTCATTCATCATGTAGTGCGAATAGCTATTTTTATTCCAACACCTAGGCACGCTTAATCTACGCCTAGACGCGCTAGGCGCTAGGCAAAGACTCAACGCCCGCTTTACGCCTATCGACTTCTTAAACCTTGCAACACAGCATGTGACATGTGTACGCTATTATTACATACCAAAATAAATAAATAAAAAGAGCTTCATAAATGGAGGGGAGTAAATGAAGGAAGGAAGAAAGGAAGGCAGGCCCATCGCCAGTGGCGGAGTCAGGAAATTTATATATGGGTGTCCTCTTTAAAAATTAAATAAATAATTAAATAATTTTAAATTAGAAAATATCTAACTAATACAAGTTACAACAAAAGTCTACGGCGTGTTACAAAATATACTCAGTGTCTGGACGGCTCAACAAATATCTCCATCTTACTATACAATCATTCCCAAACTGATCATTTAATCAATTTCGAAACTTGTTCTTAAAGTTTCCCAAAACTAAATATGTTATTTCAACACCTGCAGTTGCAATCGGTAAAATCAATTTCTTTGAAAAGCAAGTAAACCAGTGGATATGATAGAATGGAGGGAATAAGGATAACCCGTAATCAGGTTCAATTGTTAGATTTTCAAAATAATTGGGAGAAGGAATATCATTTTTACTATTAAACTAGTGTTTAAAATACAATAACAAATGAGTTGTGATCTAATGAAAAACATGTTTACTAATAATCTTAGTATCCTAATTTAAATCACCTAGCCTACCACTTATACTTTTTATCCACACGAAAACTACTATTGGGGTTGGAATCGTTATCCCAAAAATTAGGGGTGTCCCGAGACACCCAATACCCCTTTGCTCCGCCCCTGCACATCGCCCATGCATGTTGGTATGCGTGACCTTCCCCACTTCATTTCTGGACCAGCAAACCATTCAATTTCCATTTCCAAATCATCGATGACTGATGATGTATCGATGCTGATTACTGATACATAAGGCTCTGTTTGTTTCTATCTTGTTGTCGGATTGATAACAAGATAGAAAACGAGGCATTTTTACGGACTATGGTCTCTAATTGCATAGTACGCGGAAGATGTACGTATACTATTTTTTTTTTTTTTCCAAGAAATGTCAAGAGAGAACTTATACAATCTACCCCAACCCTCCCCAACCCAATACATCAGAGAAGCCAGCCCACAAAATCAAAAGCGCATAACTCTAACGGGGTGAGTAACAGTGCCTTCTGCGCCACTCTATGGGCAGCACTGTTAGCAGACCGAGGGACTGCCCTAAACTCTAAAGAAGCAGAGAGAGAAGAAAGGAGATGGAAACAATCCCTAAGCACCGGACCTCCAATGGAATCGGAGAGAGCACCTTGACGAAGCTGACGAACCACCTCCTCTGAATCTCCTTCTATGATGACCCGAGGCAACAACTTGGAGACAACAAGGGCAATGGCATCCCTAGCTGCTAGGAGCTCCGCTAGATAGGGATCAGCAATACCAGGATGAAGGATTCCTAACGCCAGAGCCACATGCCCATCTGAACAGCGCACCACGAGACCAGACGAGCACCCAGAGGATCGAACGGCAGCATCAAAGTTGATCTTCACAAAGCCATCAGGAGGAGGGGACCAAGACGAGAGGCGAGAGCGGGGAGGCTGGGGCGGAGCAGGGACCAAAGGAAGGGAGGAAGACAATTCGCGAACTTGGAAAAAACACTGACGAGCGAGAGACTGGGCATGAGGTTGGACATGCTCAAAGACCACCTTATTTCTAGACTTCCAGATCCTCCATAATACACAAACGTATAGGAGAATGTGGGTTTGGGGGTGCTCAGAAAGCATAACATGTCGCCACCAGAGACTGAAATTCACAGTCGGGGCCGAGGAGATGAAATCATTTAGACCCATGAGGGACCACAATCTTGTGGCCAAGGGGCATTTGAAAAACAGATGTTCGAGACTTTCCTGTCTTCTCCAGCAAACTGGGCAGCGAGCTAGACAGTTTACTCCTCTGGATTTGAGTGCTACTACTGTTGGAAGTATCACTCTAAGGCATTGCCAGACAAAGAACTTCAGCTTCGGGGGGATAACCATATTCCATGTTTTCTTCCAGATAGGAGAGTCAATGATTTGGACCTGTGGTTTTTGACTTGAAGCTAAGGAGAGTTCTAGAGCTAAATGGTACCCTGTTTTGACTGAGTATGAACCATTTTTCGTGTAGTGCCACACTCTCAAATCTCTCTGTTGGTGCCTCGGGAGTGGGATTTTACATATAAGATTTACCGTCATAGGATCAAAACAATATTGCAGTCTTGGGACATGCCACTCTCCCCTATTTTCCTTGATAAAGAAGGAGACTCTTGGGGAGTTAGTAATGTTCGAAAGACGCACCAACGGGGTGATGGGTTTGTCTGCAATGACCCACTTATCTTTGAAGGCTACGATGTCTTGTCCATCTCCAATTTGCCATCTTAGCCCTTGGAGGAGGAGGTCTCTTCCAAACAGAATACTCCTCCATCCCCAAGAAGGATTCGAGCCTAGGCTAGCGTCCAACACTGAACCATGCTGGAAGTATCGACCTTTATAGAGTGAAGCTAGAAGGGAATCCGGATTTTGCCATATTCGCCAGCATTGTTTTGCTAACAGTGCTTGGTTAAATGCCCCAAAGTCCCTAAAGCCTAGGCCTCCAAGAAACTTACTACTCGCCAAGCTTTTCCAGGAAACCCAGTGTATTGGGTGATCTGTGTTTTCTGCTGATCCCCACCAGAATCTTGCTACTTGACTATTAAGTCTTCTACAATTCTCTTTTGGGATCTTAAAGCAAGACAATCCATGTACCGGGAGATTGGTGGCCGCTGTTCTAATCAAGATGTCTTTCCCAGCTTTAGAGAGAGCACGCTGTTTCCACCCTTGTAGCTTCTTGATAAGCTTCTCCTCTATGAAAAGGAAAGCCTCTCTCTTTGATCTAGATATGATTGAAGGGAGTCCCAAGTAATAATCTTGTTCTCCAATGCTTCCCACTCCTAATTGTCTTCCTAGAGCCTCTGCCCGGTCAGGGTTCGTGTTGCGACTGAATAGAACAGCTGACTTTTGCAGGTTAACCCTTTGGCCGCTCAGGCCCTCATAAACTTGGAAGATGTACGTATACTATGCGTCTAGCTAGGTTTGACGTACGATGAAACGAGGATATTAAAAATGATGCTCATGTGAGACAACCAACATACTACGATGGTCGGTATATATACAAAGCGCTAGTGCAAAACTTATAGATAATAACAATTTGAATGACTCTTATGCAGAACTAACAACACAATAATATAATACGATCTCACAAACACATATTTGGGCAAACAAACGCATAACTTATCAAAATACATTTAATGCACCCTCACCATCACCAACCCACCATCATCTCAAATTAAAAGCTCCCCCTTTCCCCTCAGCTCATTTATAACATTACAACTGCCCCATTTGTTTCTTTCTTATCATCACTCTTTCCCCGTTAATATAAGATCAGGGTTTCACTTTCACTTCCCCCTTGTCCTCGATCACCTGTGTCTCCCTGTTCTCTCCCAACAACTTCAAACACTTTGAGAGACAGAGGGAGAGAGAGAGAGAGCCTGGCCTCCGAAGTTAGTAGAGAAAGAGTACTTCAGAGTGCAAACCAAACAATGGAGAAGAGCAAAGTAAGTGGAACGATGATGGGCATGAACTCTTCTTCCGCCGCCGCCAACCGGGAAGAGCTGCAGGATCAGGCCGCCGGCATCATGCGGACGGCGGAGAGCATACTCCGGCTGGTGCCGGTCGGATTGTGCGTGTCAGCTCTGGTCGTGATGCTCAAGAACTCCCAGACGAACGATTTCGGCTCCCTCTCATACTCTGATCTCGCTGCCTTCAGGTCCCCTTTTGTCTTACATTTTGTTTATCTAGGGCCAGACGGTAAATGTTGAAATGATGTCCTTTTTGGCCGTCGACATGGAAAATTGCCTCTTCTTTTATTGCTTTCCTTTGATTGAACCCCATTTCTGTATAGTTGCCATTTAATACATGTTGGCCCAGTAGTGATGATGAGAATTGAGATGTCTGGATGAGCTAGAAAGGGTCAAAATAGGTGGCAGAGTGAGTCAATAATGGGGGTATTCACGGTTGGAAGTGAGATGTCAGTTCCTTTCCTGTCCATTAGCATCACGGGTAGTTTGCTTTTGATCTAGTTGTAATGCAACAGAATCAAATTCATAACGTTATAGGTTCGAACTTTGCGACGAACAAGCTAAACATGGGTAGCTTTAGATGAATTTTCAAGGACTTCTAAAGTCCCTTCTTAATCTATCCTCTAGACAATCCACCATTCAATTCAAACGAGCGCTCAAACATGTGGGCTGTTTGAAAACAGTACCGTGAAGGTTCTGTTTTTTTGATGAATAAGCAATTTTTATTCATCAAGAAGGAGGGATATAAAACAATCCCCCCAACTGGAACCCAGAAACCTCAAGTACAAAATATACAACAAGTAACTCTTGACCAGAGCCACTAACAGAACCAAAACAACCAAGCAACAAGAAGAAACCCCAAAAACACAACACACAGCTACACTATACTATTTACATAACTTTCTGTAATAGCAATCGCCACCTGTGAGTATCCATTCCTCAGCAAATGGATCAGCCCTTGCATGTGAAGGTTCTGTTTCTTTTATAATGTGGTACATTTATATACATGCAGGTACTTGGTACACGCCAACGGCATATGTGCAGGCTACGCCCTGCTCTCCGCCGTCGTGGTGGCAATGCCGCGTCGCCCAGCCACCACGGCCGGATCCGCCTGGACCTTCTTCTTCCTGGACCAAGTGTTCACTTACTTGATCCTCGCGGCTGCCTCTGTCTCGGCCGAGGTGCTCTACCTTGCAGACAAGGGTGACCTGGACATCACATGGAGCGCGGCTTGCGGCTCGTTTGGTGGGTTCTGCCACAAGGCCATGGCTTCCTTGGTTCTGACATTCATCGTTGTTCTCTTCTTTATCGGAATCTCGCTTGTCTCGTCTTACAAGCTGTTCAGCAGGTTTGACGCCCCTGTTCTCAGTTGCTCAGCTGCTGCTGCCAAAGGAGGGCCAGAGATTGCTGCTTTTTAGAACTTGGAATCATACGTATACGTTGTCATCAGCATATATGTGTAACGTACGAATAAGTTACAGACTAAGAAGATAAAAATATATATGGGTTGAAATGTGCTTGTCACCGTAGTAGTAATTGCTCTTGTGTTAATGGCTCTTTCACTTTGCGTGCAGCAAATTCTGATTATGGATTACATATATACAACCGTACTGGTTTCTACATTTGGAAAACCTGCACTACATGCTGGCATCTACATCTACAACTTCACTGCTCAACCTAATTAACTGCAATTGCAAAGAAGAATACACAGGAATTGATCAAGAGGACGTGTTGGGAATCCATTCATTTCCTTGAATGAAGTTCTGAACAGAGTAGGCCTCTACATGCTCCGCCGGCACCTGACTGCTCCACTTGACCCTCTCAGACGGATTCGCCCCATCCCCGGAGCTCTCAAACTCGCCATAGTACAGCGTTGCCAGCGCGAAATCCCCTGTCCATGGCATCCACCCCTGCCCTGTCACAAGTGCTTCCATGTTGCATCGTATGAACACGGTCCTGCACCATTGGAAAATTGCAACATGTTAAATCCAGTATGGATTCAAGAGATGAACAAAGCGACTGGCTACTATGTTAGCTACTTCAAATCTAACAGTGACAAGCTTGTTAAGCAATAAAATATGGAATTGCTAGTAATCCAAAAGTTTAAGATAGGGGACTCAGTTGATTGCCATGATCCCGTACCTGGAAAACTCCTTCCAGGGCCTCCCCAGATAGTTCTTGTGCACCTTAGGATTGCTACGGTACATCTTCATATACTCCTCCGTGCCATTAATCAGGCAATCATGGAACACGAACCCAGTAGACTGCGCCGGATCCGTCCTGCCCTGTGCAGTCACCGCATTGTTCTCACCTTTTTCCGGCTTCACCAGCCTCGGAGCCACCAGGATGGTGCAGTCGTCGAAGATCGCGGCAGAGTTGCCGAAGATGAAGTCCACATTGCCCTGAATCCGGCAAGAATTGTAGTACTGGCGGAGGGAATGCGCGTAGAGAGTGTCTTGGTTGCCGAGGAGCTCGCAGTTCTCGATCAGTGACAGATCGCTGTCGACTCTCAGCGCCACTGCTTGGTGGGTCGGAGCTCCGGCCGTGTTCTGGATCGTCAGCCCGCTCGCCATGAATCCATCGCCAAGAACCGCTGCAGAGGAATCAATATTTAGCACATTGGCTGTAGACTTGGTACCTAAACTTTAACTTTACTAAACCCTGAAATAACTATATACTAATCAATAATCATTCATTTTGTAACCAAGAAAAATACATAAACGGTGCGGGGAAAGAAAAAAAAAGCAATATAAAAATGGCGTGGGAAGGGCAGCTTGTTACCGACAGTGGCCGTGTTGTACGTGGAAAGCCCGGGTTGGCCGACGGCCAACGACCCGGTGATAACGGTTCGACCCATCCCGTCTCCCAGGAACACCAAATTCCTTTTCTCCAACGGAACCCTAACGATCTCCTCGTAAACCCCTTCCCTTATCCCGATAATAAACTTCCGTCCGCCGGTCGGCAGATTGGACGGCGCGGAATCCACCGCCGCCTGCACCGTCTCGAAATCACATCCGCCGCTCTTGCAAACCGTCGCGTCGGGCTTCAACCCCGACGGAAAACCGCCTGAACCCAGCCCTGTACCCCTGCCCGACTTCTCCCAGAACCCGTCCCGCTCCGTCTTGGGCGGGCCCCACGACCCGGTCTCGTTGCCGTGAACGTCATAGGCCACAAGCATACTCAGAGCGTTGCTGGAGAGCATCATTAGAGAGTCGAGGAACGACATCGTTTGGGACGTCAACGACGTGTCGTTTGCGTACATGAGAGCGTTCCGGCAGTCGTACTGGTAAAGCAGCGCAGCGCTCATCCACGCCCGCGCGTCCTTAATTCCTCCTCCTCCGCTCCCGCCGCCGCGGAGGGCTTCTCCGGCCGCGGCTGACTGAATGCGGTGCTGCGAGTTGGCGAGAACCTCGACGCAGTTTTTCGCGGCGGTGGTACGGTTGATGTTGGAAGAAGAGCTCAGAATCGACTTCACCATGGACTGCGCGACGGAGAGATTCGCAGAGCAGACTGCGATCGCCGACTGAATCAGGTCAATCGGAGTTGGGGATTTCGGGAGAGCCGCGGCGGGGTTGGCCAGAGAAGACTGACAGACGTCGGGGAATCTGGTAGCATTGCAGGCTTGAGCGATCTGAGCCGGGACCGGTCCTGCCGACGAGGAGCGAATCGGGGCTTTTTTGGATCTGGGTTTCGGCGATCGGAAAATTCGAAGGGGTCGGGGCTGGGAAACAGAGGAGGAGGAAGAAGGGAAGGAGAGGAAGAGAAGGAAAGAGACGAGGAGCAGGGTAATGAGAGAAGCCATGGAAATGAGAAGGAAAGAGGAGCTGGTGAGAGGGGATTTGGGGGGTTTTCTGAATAGGGAATGGATCGGCATTTCAATTTATAGCAGGGTAAGGGGAAAGGAAGGGGGTTTTGGAATTTTGCAGCGACAGGGGAAGATGGAGGGAATTCAATTGGCAGTAGTGGTGGGTGTAGGGTTAGTGGAGAGGACGGTGCTCACGAGAGTGGAACATTTGGGAATGGAAGCAGTTGGTGGGATCACGGGTGGAAAGCTTTTTTGGTTTTTGGTTTTTGGTTTTTGGTTTTGTTCTTGGTGTGATGCGCCTGTCTCGGTTACTTGCGTGTCTGTGGTGGATTACAGGATATGGCGCCGGTGTGGGGAAGGAAGAGAAATAGCGGGAGAGATTAGCCAATTGCGTTAAGAATTGTAAAACAGTGGGGATTGCTCTAAATTTGGGTTAAATGAACGAAATGGCCCATTTCAACAAGCAAGCAAAATAGAAAAGGCCCATTTCTAAGTCCAGGTCCATTAAAGGAAGGGCCAGATAGTGATATATTCTAAATATGGGTACCGTTTTGAAATAGAAAGGCGAGAGAGCGAAGCGAAGGTGACACTAAACCCCCAATTTCAGGCGCCGAAGATCGGCGACGGCTATCGCGAAGGAACCTTGCAGGCAAGCAATGAGAGGAAGAGGATTTTCAATCCCTACCAATTTCGTCGGAAATCATGCTCCCAAAAGCTCTTCTGCCTTCTTCACCCCATTCTCCACTTCCTCCGGCGGAGGACGTGGCGCGGTCGTGGTCGGATCTTCCCTCCCGGCCAATTCGCATTCACCGACGAGACACGCAACGCAGAAGAGGAGAAGAAGTCTCAGCCGGCACCTGGGAGGACTAGGTCACGGCCGCGGCAAGCCTCTCGCATCCGGACCGGTTTTCCCGGAGTTCTCTTCCTTCATCTCTTCCCTAAAACAGACGGCTGTCGCTCCCGGCAGCGGTAGCATCGGACGCGGGAGCGGGATGGGCGTCGCTGCGGAGGGACCGCGATTGGAAAAGCATGCACCTGGGGCGCCAGGGAGAGGCTCTGTTCCTCCGGCGAAGTAGAGTTATCTGCCCTCCAGTTTGAGGTCGTCCGAGTTTCGGCCGCGGGAAATCTGATGCACCGGTGGTGGCGCAAGGAATACCGGAGAAGGAAGTGAACAGGCATATTCGTAGTGCCAGGGTGAGCCCGTGAACGGCTGATGGTGATGTTGACGATAGAGCTGGAGCTGGCGAGCAGAGTCAGAGAAGGCCGAGATTTAGCCAGGATGAGATAGCGCGGCGAGGTGGAGCTGAGGGAAGTGAAGGGAGGAGAAGGGGTGACGGTGAAATGCAGATGGGGCGTGGCCGTGGTGCTATATGGGACGAGGTCAAGGAAGGGGAATGGGGAGAGGGAGAGGGAGAGGGAGAGGGAGAGGGAGAGGGAGGGGATATTACGGCGGTGGAAGGGGACAGCAGAGAGATCAACTTGCTGCTGCTGCTGACGATTCTGAAGGCGAGGACTTTCTTCCTGGAAACAAAGCTGACGGTGAGAGACTGGCACAAACTGTTGGTGTTGAGTTCATGAACCAGCTTGTTAATGGGTTCGAAGAGATGAGTGGCAGAGTTTTGCCATCACCTCTCGAGGATGAATTCTTGGATGCACTAGACACCAACTTCAGTAATGAGTTCATTGTGCTTATAGAGACTCTTTGAATTGTTCTTCAAGATTTCTTATACTGATGAGAAACTAGTATGCAATGGTTATTCGTGTTAGTAAATCGTATACTATTGCTTTGATGTGTTCTTGGAGAGATGCTACTGTGAAATAGTTTGTTGATGCGAGAGTTGTTCTTCTTTGAATTGCAGATTGAGTTTGAGGAAGAATACCTCATGGGAGAATTTGATCTGAACCCAGACATTGACGAGAAACCACCAATGCCCTTGCGGGATATGTTGGAGAAAGTGAAATCATTCTTTATGTCCTATGAAGGAATCCAGAGTCAAGAGGAATGGGAGGTGCGTCTGAATGTTGCTAAGCACTTTGTTTCTTATCAGCTCTAAGTGAACTGTCGACTGCCTTGCTTCGTGTCCAGTCAACAAATCTGATAACAAATTCTTGAGGCTGATAACCAACCCCAACTGTTTTTGTTCTAAACATAATAATAACTTGAAGATAATAATTTATGATGACAGCTCGTTTTGTTCTAACAAGGAAAATTTTCGGTTATCAATTCCCTCTATATGAGAAAGTAACACGGATGGAACTGGTGTGCTTCTTTGTTGTTGACGTATGGTTTATATTTCTCTTTTATCAGGAGGCGGTTGAAGAAACAATGAAGAATGTGCCACTATTGAAAAAGATAGTTGAGTACTAAAGTGGACCTGATAGGGTAACAGCAAAACAAAAACAACAAGAGCTGGAAAGAGTTGCAGAAACCATTCCTGCTGCTGCTCCTCCTTCTGATCGAGCCGTTCTTTCTCTTCAGGTTAGTGCTTTTACTGCCAATCTTACCCTGAATTTTGAGGATCATATCATGTTGTTTGCATATCGGAAGTTTAAACGACTGCCATAGTACTTAGTCTCGATTTGGAGTTCACATACGGTCTGTTAGGCTTTCCATTTCGTGGTCTTATGATTCCTAGACCCTTCATGATTTGTCAAGGAATGTCTTTTGGCTACTTTGTTAACTTCAAATCAACTTAGGATCAATTGCTGCAAAGTGCTACTTGAAGGCAAAATCCCTAAGTAAAAACTGTGGATTTTTTTTGTGGAAGGACTTGGGAAGAGTTGGACATTTGCTCAAGAAATAGTCATTTATTAGTATCCCATGGATAGTGCAAAGCTGTAATGAATGCTGAAGACTTGTGGTGCTATGTCTAGGTTTTGAATCTCTAGCTTTGATAAACAATGCTGAAGATAATTCAGAGCAGACTTAGTTAGGGATATATTGCTAATCAACCTAATCGGAAAGAGAAAAGGCTCTAGAGTCTTAGTTACAGTTGGTCAACAGTGAATATAGAGGCCTCCTTGAGCACTGAAGATGGACCAATTTCGTCTATCCGAGGGCTTTGATTCCTCTTCTCGCTGGCCCTTTCATTTTGCTTATCTATCTTCAATCTAATTGAGCAATGAACTACTCATTCGTCTAGAGAGAAACTCAAAAGTTCGAACCGCACCTATTCCCTAATATCAGCATCGAGTTAAGCTTAGGGGTGTCGACTTTCGGATGATTGTGGTTTAATTTGTCTTTGTGGTGTTGGAATTTTTGCAGAGCAATCCCGGGTGGAGATTCGACAAGAAGTGCCAGTTTATGGACAAACTAGTAATGGAAGTATCGATGTACGGTTGTTGCAACAGCAATTCCGGGGGGAGCTCGTTTGTCATCATTTTTTGATATTGTTCCGTTTTCGGATTTCTTCTGAATTTTGTTCAACTTTTTTTCTGATAGAACCCCAAGAATTATAGATTTTAGGACTCTTGGAGTACCAAAAAAGAGGTTGCTGTAAGGGGATGAGAAAAGGAAGGGAAAGAAATACTCATGGTTTCTATTTAGCAAAATACACTTCTATAACCACAACTTTCACTTTTATAATAGTTGTAATAACAATTCTCGAAAACACGGGAAAATTCCTTTATTGCTTAAGCTTTCTCTTTACTTTCCTTGCAATTTCTATGCTCAATTCGTTGATCTAAATATCCTTTAAAAAAAAAAATCGTTGATCTAAATATAATTTGTGGTTATGATCGCACCCTCACTCATTCATTTTTCCTATTCGTGACCTGGCGAGATCCAGCTACAGGCCTAGCCCGTCGGCCTCACCTCCTCCAAATTTATCTTCTCTCGGTACATTGTGGAACAAAACTCGTTCAAAAATCTCATCAAAAAATTGTACATAATATTATCATTCACAACAATCATACAAAACTTCGACAATTAATATGAGCAAAATCCACATAAATTTGTATTGACTCAACACTATAGAGAACATATTCTTGTTACTTTTTTGTAAAATCTTTCTTTTTGATATATTACTTCAGAGGATTTCAATATCAGTTTAACAAAAAAAAAAAAAAAGCTAAGCAAGCAAAGAGCAAGGCTACACTATGGAAGCTTACATTCTTTACTACTGACTACTGAGTGAAAAATGGAACACACTATCCCTAAAACATGTCTTATCGTTCTCGATAATTTACATAATCGTCTGAAGATTCTTAAGTCTTAACTAACACACGCCATGCACTCACTTGAGGCTAAAAAGGGGAAAACCCCAAAAAGGAATCCAAGTCTGTTTCCAATCAAGCCACCCTAACTTTATACTTATAGTAATTGCAATTTGTGCTGGCCTGATGATGATAACCAGCTGAAGAATTCAGCCGGGAATATCTCTTCTTCCTTCTCCTAAACATATAGTCTACCAGCCCCTTCACGCACCAACTCCGCCGAATCTTTGGCGCCACCGTCATCACGTGACCGCCACGTGCTCCGTTGCTAGTGGCTCTCCTCACCGCCAGCCCGCGAAGTTCCGGCGGGGAGTAGTGCCTTATCAACGGCCACTTGATCCCCTCGAAGAAACGGTGCCGTTTCACGTCCGTCGCGCCTTTGCTGCACCCGAGCCGTCTCCGCGGATCTTTCACGAGAAGCTTCCGAATCAAATCCTCCGCCTCTTCCATCCCTTCCGCGGAAGGCGGAGGAAACGCAACCTGCTTGCTCGACGCGATGTTGCGGAGCGTGCTCTCTTTGCTCCCACCTTTGAACGGCGTCGTCCCGTACATCAGCTCGTAGATCAACACCCCGAACGCCCACCAGTCGACGCCGTTTCCGTGGCCGCTCCCGGAGAGAAGCTCCGGCGAAAGGTACTCGTGGGTCCCAACGCACGAGCTCGAGAATGCGGCATTCGGCTCCGCGACGAACTCCGCCTCCATCTCTTCCACCACCATTCTCCCCCTCCTCCTCCTACTCTGCCGCCGCCGCGTGGGCCCCACGCGATCGCAGCGAAAGGTGGGGTCCACATCGGCCTCGAAGCACAAATCGAAATCCGAGAGCATGACGTGGCCGTCCTTCCTCAGCAAAATGTTCTCCGGCTTGAGGTCTCTGTAAACAATCCCCAGCGCGTGGAGGTACTCGAGCGCCACCAGCACCTCGGCGGCGAAGAACTTCACCGCGGCGAGTGGGAACCGGTTCCCCGGCTGCTTCCGGAGGAGAGAGTGGAGGTCGCCGTTGGAGCAGTAATCGATCAGGAGGCAGGTGTAGTGCGAGACGTCGATTCGCGCGTAGAGCGTAGGCAAGAAAGGGTGGTCTAGCAGGGAGAGGATCTTGGCCTCCATCTGCACGTGGGAGAGCTTCTTCTTGCTGAGGGTATCTCGATCCACGACTTTGAGGGCGAATTGGCTGGAGGCAGAGTCGCTGCAATCCCTAATTTTGCAGAGGAAGACTCGGCCCAAATTTCCGGCGCCAAGGAGGCGGAGCAGCTTGAGGTGGCTGAGGTGGAGGCGCCCGTCGGAGGAGAGGTTCGTGGCGGTTCTAATCGCCGACCAGTGAGGGTCGGATCTGCGGTGGTGCAGCGAGTCGAAGGAGTTGTAGGAAGAAAGAGTGGCGGCGACGGAGGAGGATGTGGTGGAGAGGCGGTCGTTGAAGCTGAGGGTCAAGCTGGAGCGAGCGAGACTGGAGCGGGCGCTGGAGGAGGCGAAAGTGCGATCGGTGACGGTGGAGTTGAAGCTGAAATCGAGGTCGGTGTCGCAGGGGGAGGAAGTATTGCCATTGTTGTTGCTCTGGTCGTAGTAGTAATTATCTTGAGCTTCGTCCATGGTCGAATATTGAAGGAAATAATGGATGGGAAGAAGAAGTGGAGGTGTTTTTGGTGTTATAAAAAGAGGATAGATTGAGGAAGGAAGGTGGGGACGGACTGGCGAAATAATTAAGGGTCAAACTACATACAGACACTAAAACTAAAGATGTATGCACATATTTGCCACTATGCTTAATATTTTATCTAATTTGGTCATATTGTCGTGTAAATTCAATCAACTGAATAACGAAGTAGACCACGACTCCCCCTATTGCTGCTATGGTGGGATAGGGCAAGAAAGTGATTTATATTAGTTTTGATAACCGCAAGGATGGATGATTTTACTCTCATTAACTCTACCTTATTCTCAACTTGGTGTGTATTTACCTCCCGTGTAATATCTATTGTGAATTGATTGTATGTTCAAGCTTGCTAAATAATGAGTTACCTAACATTATTCTAGCTAGTATTGAGTGAGAGTATCCATGGATTAACATTGTTATATTCTCCATCTTTATTTAGCAAAACGAGTCGTTCTAAATCAAATCGTATCGCCTGTTTTGCACCTGTTTGGGGTAGCATTTCAATTCTATCAAATTTCCGGTTGAAATTGTCTACTTGACAATAATACCAACCAAATTTGCCACATCACACAACATGGCTTGTATGCTATCATCCAACCCCCTCACTACCCAAAAAAACCAACCCATCAACCGTGATACTCCGGATGGAAAGTCCAAGTGAGATTAACGTCATTACACTTACATTACTCATTCCAAACTCCAATGGCCAAATTGGTTAAGAAAGTAAAGTTAGCGACCTCCAAAGTTGAGTGACCCCTGATGTTATTTGACCCATTAAATGCCCGGCTGGTTGGTTGACCGAACGGAAACTTTTGGATGGAATTTATTAATCAAGGTGGTGGCAGGGAGGCACAGACGACAGAGTCTTTCTTTTTTCTTGTTTTGTTTTGTTTTGATTTTCAATAATGGGTTTGATTAACGAATCAAGATTAGCAATAATTAGGATATGATTAAAGTATGAACTGAGAGAGGAAGGTAATAAATTGGGAACAGATCGGCCAAGAAAAGAAGAGGAGAAGAATCCAAGGAGTGTTGGTTAGACGTTTGTCAGAAAAGCTGCGTGGGAATTTAATGACGCTGACATTAACACAAAGCTAAGCAAACCAACAATGAACTTTGTAATTGAATTTGGACGGCAGCCGCCAACAATTACTTTCACTCATAACCATGCATCGTTTTGGGAAGCACGCAATTGGTCAATTAGGTTTTGATAAGCAATTCAAAATATATCAGATAATTAATTAATATCAGAATTCTCATACCCGCGAATCGAATACTCATAGAGTTAATTACTGATATCGAATGAATTCTTGCAATCTCATGTAAATAAGCAGACAAAATCTTGAAAATTACGTAGTCTACATCACGTCTGATAGGGGTGATCAAACAGCCCTAACAAAATCTTGTTTCATGCAAAGCAGTCACTTCCCATGTTTTCATGTGTTTTGGAGTGATCTGGAATCCACATTATTATATAAATAATAATGATTTGTATTTATGTGGGGGTCAAATTATTAGTGGGTTCGTGACTTGAATGCAATGTCGGGCGGTAATGCTCATCTAATAATACACAAATCTAATAATTGATTCTAATGTGGGAGCTGTTAGCATTACAGTTTTGTTTTCCTTTGTTTATTAAACTGGGGGGGTTTTTTTTTTGGATCTTCAACTTGCATGAGAGCGAGATGGGATGTTCTTAGTGATAGCTCATTGCTATTATCGGGTGTTTTCATACACTTGTCAACACAGCCAACTGTTTCTTTTTTTCCCAGTCTCTTTGAGGTGTCTGAAATCTGAATCTCACTAGTTTGTGTAGGATAAAACCCGAATTGAATGAGTATATGTGCATATCATATATGGATACAAGTTGAGCTTGTATATAGATACATGTGACGTAACTTAATTATGTATCAATATATCATCTACACAAAATAATTACATATAGTAAGCGGGTTAACCAAAAGGATCCTGAACTATCTGAACTAAGGCGATAGTACCAACACTAATATTGCCGTGTACATTGGTGGAGGGAGGGAGGTTAAGTGATGTGAGTTCTATGGAACTCACTCGGAAGTAGGCTAGATGTTCAAAACAAGATGCAATATAAGACGCGACAACACAGTTTCAAACTATATATAGACTTTGTAGTATAGGAAAGCTATGTTAGTAGACGATGATTTTTGCTCAAGTCTTGTAGTCTGCTCCATTTTACTTTGTCTTTGGACCACGCTATAATATCTTGCCAACTACACCAATGTCATTAAGTTAAAATAAAGCCTTCGGAGCATACCATTCAGCAGCGGCGGATCTAGGGGGATTGCCCCGGGCCACGACTCAACCCTCTCTCCGGATCCAAAGCTCGCGTATAGTACTTGTAAATTTTCGATTTTGAGTATATATTTCAATGCGGCCCAGTACTCTAACCTGTTCTGGATCCGCCGCTGCCATTCAGCAGTAATGTGCTCATC